TTTTTTTCTTATCTTACAGTATATGTTATATATGCTGTAATAATTAATTATCCTATTATTTAATACTTTATGCCAAATAGATAGATAAATGGAAATTATTTGCAAATTGAAATACTAATAGTAAATACAATCAGCATCTTCACTAACACTTCAAAATTTTTACATTATTATATTAAACTTAAATTATTAGCTTTTAATTATTAATAATCTTTTACTTTTATAGTTATTCAATTATTACATTTTAAATATTATATATTTATAACCAATTATTTTAAAGATTTTTCTTAAATATACTATATTATCTCTTTTAAACTTTTTACAGATAGAGTTCACAAAATACATCAAAATCAAATAGCAATAATAGGTGTTAAATATAAGATTGTTTTTTATGTATTTATTCAGTTAATATTTTTGAAAATAATTTGATATTTTTAAACTTCAAATGTTTTATTAAAAAAAATTCATCAAAATATATATGTTAAATATCATTTAAAGATGTAATTTTATGTTAAATTTAATAATATTCCTTCATATTGATTATGAGACATCTTAGCTAACTGAATATAAGTATGTGATTTAACTACGCCATTGTATGATTTGTATCAGTATCATGTGCGATTCATTATATACAGATCTCAATCTATAATGAACAAATATTCTGATTTTTATTCCAAATAGGAGCAATAATATTCATTTTACATAACGAACTTCCTATTTGGAGGTATTAGAAAATCCAAAAGTGCATGATTTTTCACCCTCATATGATTATCTGTTTTTCAAAAGATCTTAAAAATAAACAGTAAATTTTGTTATTATTAGATGGCGTTATAAATTGCTTTAGATAGAGAAAAAATGTAATTATGAAAACGTAATTATGGCGAATATGGTTACAGTATATTTCGCTAAAATCCATTTCACCGAAACCCATTAATTTTATTAACTTGTAGAGACATTTAGATTTACAACTTTTAGAGGATATGATCAATTTAAGATAATATAATGAATGAATTATTAAAATTATTTATTAACAAAAATACTAAATTTCTTTCGCCTTTTATTCCATGTGGATTTAAATATCAAATACATAATATTTCATGGGCTGAACAATGCTTTTCAAGTCTTAATTTCCTTCATTGTGATTAATAAACTCATATATCATATTACAGCGATTAAAAAATATTCATCACGCAATGAAAATAAAAAAAAATAAAAATTAAATTATTTTTAGATCACTTTAACATTCACGTAACTGATATGATAATTGTTAAACAATAAATAAATAACTTTACTTTCCTGAAAACATTTATTCACGAAAAAGTAAATAAAAAAAGATTTTAAAATGTGTTATAAACGAACGACAAGATAAATTTAATAAAAATCAGCTAATTTAAAAATTTTTCTAGAAAAGATTTCTTTATGTATTTAGTATAAAAACAATAAAATAACCAAATGAAATAAATAATTTTTCGGCGAAATGTCCATTCGAACGGTGAAATGGAATTCGGTGAAATGGAATGATTTATTCAAATCGTTTGGTAATCCGGTTCATCAGTAGTTAAATCAGTACAAAATTTTTGAAGTTCAAAAAAAGAATCATGCTTTTCATCGTGACGAAACGTGGCATAATTTTCTTTTTTTTAATTATTAAAATAAAATATTGTCGAATTGATCGCTCTTATCGGATGTTTAAATGTTGCAAGTCACGTGCGTTCTTTATAATTATCTGAGGAAACTTGAACGTGTAAAAAAAACACTATTTGTCACAGTAACATTGCTGACACACGCTTACATTTGTTTGGGACGTGCTAAATTGTGCTATAAACAGTAAACTATCTATATCACTGGTTACTACTCCACGTAAACCCCCTCCACACCTTGGTCGGCAAAAAGTCTTTCGGTATTCCGTAAAAATTTTATTCATGATTTTGTCATCAGCGATATGTTGCCATATTTGGTTTTCTTAAGTGTGCATGGAAATACGTTGTCTATCATTGATTTGAATACCTATACGACTGATATATTCAAAGCAACTAAAAACAAAATTCAATTCAATGAATTATAACTTTTATATTTCTATTTTCTCACCATGTATTATAATTGGTAGTTAAACGCGATGATTGTGTAGATGATTGCGGTCCTCCAATTTATGGAGGTAACCCATGATTGGTAAGAGAAATTGGTATATGTTGTTTTTAAGGAACTCTAAAAGACAAACATACTCATAATAATCTGATTTATTTATTTATTTATTATTTAATTTAATTTAATTTATTTATTTATTTGCAATAATTTTTAAAACAGATCTATGTAACCAATCATATTTTGTTAATTAATTTATTAAATACAAAGTTACTTGTTTATTTTTATTGTGATAATAGAAGTATAGCGGTCACAAAGGAATATTATCTAGTCAATATTGATCGTTATTTTAGTTACGTGACTGCGAAATTTTTTGTCACGTTGGTTTTAAAAAACTTCATAACAGACAAATACGCGTGTTAATACTTATGAAAAGTTTAAAAAAAGTCTAGATACATATCAAATATTGTAACGATGAGCAAAAAAAAAAATATTCCCAATTTAACACCACCAAAACCCGCTAAAAATTATAAAAAAAATCCCTCAATAGGAATTTCAAAAAATTCATTATCCCACTGCACAGAGGTACTCACACGGAAACCTTTAGTAAAAGGCGAAAGGTTTATACGATTTTGCGAACACCTCATGGGAAAAAGATAAGGGGAAAACTCTTACGATATGTTTGATTATTTATATAAAAATTTTAAATTTATAAAAATTATGGGATTGATGGTCTTGTGGCGCAGTAACGTTACTAGCGTATGATGGACTGATGGTGACGCCTAATTTTGGTAATAATTAAACATTTTTAGTAAAAAAGAATAACTAAAAATATAATAAATTAAAAAACGCCTAAAATGTATAATAATTCCATACTTGCTAAAATAAATAAAAACCATAGACCGAAAAATTGAAGTCGCATCAAGCTACAGATCACAAAATTCATTTTGCAGTGTAGCAAAGCCTTTATCATCTATAATATGTAAAAAAAGAATTTTTTTAGTCCTTTAACTATAGAATACGGTTACAGTCAGTGTTGTACATTTTTGATGTCCGCAGCTTTTTTTGGTTGTCCCGGACATGTTCGCACTCTGCGGTCTCTGCCCGTACTCCGTACTCTTCTGTAACTTAAAAAACCCTGCAAAAATTGTATGTATTTATGCGTAATTGAGCACCGAAACAGGTTATCATAGTAAAATTCGAGAGATTATCATTTCTTTTTTGTGTCACCTGTCCCGGCCCGTGACAACACTGCGGTTACTAATATGAGATAACTCTTGGTCGGTCTCTTGAAAATTTTTTTGAATTTTTTGGTTTTTTTTCTTGATCAAGAAATAAAGTAGTGAAAAGAGATAAAATTTTGCTAAAAAAAAGATAGTACTTTCGCCCGGAAAGATTTGACTGGAACAGGTAATGTTCTTGAAAGACTATCTAATAAAAGACTTACAAAGACGTAATTCATTAGATAGTTTATACATGAATTATTATTAAATTATTGACGCTACATGAAAATGTTCCGTCTAAAAACAGGTAAAGAAATACCAGGTTCACTGTAACCGCAAATTAAACTAACCCTATCTGATATTCTGATATCTTGATATAACCGTACTAGTATTTCGTTGGATAATTTATTATATTATATCATTCTTTAAAAAATAAAAACTCAGATCAGGTTCATCATGAAGTAATTCGGATGATAATTTACTCCCTGTCGTATTATCGATCAATTATTTATAAAGATTGTTGTGCCTTGTAGTGTGTGTATGGAAAAAATAGACATATAATTAAGTATTACCAATTTTAAAACGATACAAAGTCATACAAAGGAAAAACGTAAAGAAAAACTAGCTCCCACCTTAGCGACTACCTTAAAAGATCGTCCAACAAAGTCCGTCAATAATGCACAAAGGAGACTTAGTATGAAGAAACCATAATATATTTGGAGATATTTAGTACGGAGTAGTCGGAGTACGGACTTCCCGAGTCTCGAATAGGTATAGGCAATGAACTTGATGCATAACAAGTTCATAATTTTATTTGGCAATTTCGCGCCAAAACAAAATGTTAAAAATAATAATTGTTTTTATTATTTATATTTTATTTTTTTTTCGAAACAATGTCAATAATTATACTTTAATAATAATTTATTCTATTTATAAAATTCCTTATAAACTGATTCTTCATCATTCAACCAGTGAAAATATAACACTTTTCTACTAAACATTTACTGTGAGAAATAAAGCCAAAATGAAAATTGTGAAACCAATACTTGTACGCAGCATTTTAAAAATCAGCTTGCAGATCAGTTTGCAGATTTTGCAGATCATATTCACATGTACTGTAATTTAATTATTTGAATTTCTGAGTGTAATCGTATACAATAGATAAATTTGTCATATACTTTTTGATATTTATTAAAATAATATTCTTTAAAAAAAAATTAAAAATTTTTTTTTTAAATTTTTTGTCATTCAAATTTGTATATTTTTGGATTAAAAGTATTAAATGTTACACGAATTCGGCTAAAGAAGTTTCGTTGATCATCACTTGAAACAATCAAAAAACGCGCATTTTTTCTTTATCCAACATTCAAACAAATAAGCCTCGGCAAAAATGTCAAGATAACAATGATGATATTCCTTTAACACGAGATCTTTGTCTTTAACGGAATATTTAAAGTGGAGATTCATCTCCGTTTGGTTATTTAATGTTAAATTAATGGAAAATGAAACGTACCGGAAATAAATTTGCGGTATTCAATTCTTTTTAATTCTTTTTGTGGACGTTTCGTAACCGAACTTTAAAAAGAGAGAGATTTCATTTAATTATTTCCTTTATAATCAAATCATTTTGTAAATGAAAAATTTATTCTAGAAATATCCTATTATTAATCACCCATTTTTTGCTCAATATTGTACTGCATGAAGACTCAACAATGGATTATTAGTAATTTATTATAAATATCGATCATTTTTGCAATATTTATAAAAAAAAAAATATTTTACCTTCAATATTAAAATATATCCTCAATAATCCTTGAAACATATTGAATATGTCTAATCAAATAATAGGAGATTATGATCCTTGCCCTTCCTCTTCATATCGACCTTGCAATAATAATCATACTTATCAATCTTATGGTATTAACGGACTGGGAAATGTATGGTGTAATAGAGGAGGAGGTACTGCACCTGGTGGCTCTTTCTATTATTCAAACGCGGATGGTTCTTATTTTTATCAAAATTCTGACGGTTCAAGGTACTACAACAACGGAAACGGTTATTCTCGATACTATCCACCTCCACAAAATGGGCAATAAACGTAATGATTTGATATATCAATTATTAATTATGAAAAGAAAAAAAATTTGAAAAGGTATTGTTTTTGATTTTTTGATGAAAAAATCCTTTTTTTTTTTTTGAAACAACTCTTTTCCCCTCAATTTTTTTTTTTTACAATTTTTTTTTTATCTTTTTTTTCTTTTTCTTTTTTTTTTGAATTATTTGTATACACGGTATATATTTTTTTAAGTTTCTTGTAACTATTGAAATGTTAGTAAATAGTTAATGTAAATATGGTTTCAAATTCACTTGAAATATATACATACTCATATATACTTTATTGTAAATAAAATGAACATATAGCATTTTTTAGGAAAAAAAAATAAATATTTTTTACATAATTTTTTCGTACATAAATTAAATGTTTGTGTTTGTGTGCGTGACGCGCAAACTAAAATTGGGATCCGAATAATAACTATAAAAGGTAATGAATATAACTAAGGGTATTAAACCAATAAAGTTCATCCAAACAATGATTATCATAATATTTTTGCATTATTTTGACATTCATAATTGAATTAAAAACAAGGGTATCAAAAAATTAATTAGGGATTTTCATTGTTGAATCTTAAAATGATATGTTTGAGAAAAAAGGAAAGAGCATAAGTGAAATTATTATAAGTTAAATCTTAAAAAAACGATAAGAAATAAAGACATAATTTTTTTTAGGTCGAAAAAGAAAAAAAAAAAAAGAAAACGGGAAAATTCATTTTAACAAGCTAACAGATTAAAGACGAATATAAAGACGAATAAAGATGTATATTTATGTGTATATACTTATATATACACGGTATAATCCATGCGTGCGATATAACAAGGGGGTGAAAAAATGTATTAATGAGAAGAAGCAGCATCGTTGAAAAAAGTACTACGAATTCATTTGTAAAATAAAGATATACAGTATTTATATGTATATACTTATATACACAGTATCAGTATGAACCCATGCATGCGACATAACAAAGGTTTAATAAAAAGAAACGAATTCATTTGAAGAATAAAGACGAATAAAAGATATATTTAATGTGTATATACTTATATATACCCATGCGTGAGACATAACAAGGGGAAAAGATGTATTTAATAAAAAGAAGTACCATTAAAAAAAGTACGAACTTGTAAGTTATTAGAAGTTTGTGTAGTTAGACGAACTACACGATTCAATGTAGATGCGTTGATCAACGCGCGTCTACAGTACCTCTGAATACGTTTTTGATGATATCTGGAGAGAGATTTCATTTTTATTTTTTTATTTTTTTTTTCTAAATTTTTTTTTGTTAGAGGTTTTTCCCTACAGAAAATAGATCAAAAATACCCTTTATTTATAATAAATCATGATTTTTTAAAAAAAAGTTTGTTTATGATAACAAATGTTGCAATAATATTTTTATTTTTATTTTTAAAGGATATGCATAAAATAATTCATGATCCGAGTAACAAATATGGCTCTTTCCTTGCAAAAAGCTTCAAAATATTAATAAACACTAAATATTGTAAATACTAATAATAATAATTAAGCTGTAACATAGTACCAAAAAGTAAATAAATAATAATAATAGTACAGGTATCATATTTAGTAAAAGATAAGAATTTAAACAAGCCGATATCGTCTTAAGTCAACTTTATTAATTCTACTACTATTAAACTAAAATTGCCATAAAATTTAAGATGATTTCAAGCAACTTTCAGTTTTTTTTGCAAAACTTCCTTCCAAAATATCTTGAATCAAGAATCCCAATGTTGAAAGTGATTTTTTTAATTTGAAATCTTTGAAATCTTTAAAGTTTTTACACAACAAGTTTATGTGACTCAAAGATAACAGATAACAGATACCCCCTGGACAAAATTGGTTTATAACAATCTAAGTAATATATATATAAGGATTAGAAGGGAAAGTATTGAACAAATTTAATCATACATAATACCCAATTATAATGATTTTTCCCTTTTTTTCCTCATTGTTAAACTATGCAGGTACAGCATGGTCAATCTTATACTATTTCCATCTTAACGTGCCATTCAAATAACTATTAATGGATGAACACAAAAACTTATTTGTATTAGTTGCTCTTTTAAGAAATCTTAACTCTGAGAATAAATATGCAGAAGAAGTACGTACGTAAATTCGAATGTTAGAAGAGACTATAAGACTATAATAGGGAAAATTAAATAAATTTGGTTACACCCTTAGGCATTATCGGTTAATACGTTAATGCAAAAAGTATTATATAATAAATAAACAATTAACATAAAAACTAAATTTAATAAATCATGTCTCAAAAAAGGAATCTTATAGGCTCCCATTATAAAATTTCAAATCATTGCGATTACGAACAATTAAATTAAAAATAATAATTAATTAGTTATAAACCGAATCGTTCGTTGAATTCTTGTCTAATATTATGACGTGATTGAGACGATCTAATGCATAAATAAATAATTCATACATACCACAATGCACATCATTTTAAATCGAGACACATCCATTGTTATTAAACAATAGTGTAACTGTTTTATTATCAAAGCGATAATAGCAATACACCAATAATTTCCTTAATATTTATATAATATTATTATTAGAATAACATAATAGTGATCATTTGCATTTGTTTTAATTCAGTAATATGAAAACAAATCACTTCATACATGTATAACTTATTAAAGTTTTAATGAAATTTGCATATTATATTATTTTAAAATCATATCACTTCGAGAAGCGTGCATTGTTTTATAATGTAGCTATGTTGGTGATTTTTTCGTCAAAGTCTTATCAGCGTGATCTATATATATATATTACTGGTCATTTGCATCAGTTTGTTTTAATACAGAAATTTTTATAAATAGCCAATCAAATCATTCTGACTTTGTTTAAAATTATAAATTTGATCGATTTATAAACTTCATATATATACTGTATCATGAATCACTTTTAATTATTACAAATTATATTAACTTGCATAAATCATTTTAAAATTGAATATACATGTGAAATGAATGAATTGTTTTATTTAAACAATCATGTAACCATGTCGGTTAATGTTTTCGTCGGAGTGACCAATTGATCCATTCAGTTAAACATTATTACTTATCATTTTGTATCTTTTGTATCATTGTTTTAATACATAAAAGTTTAATAAAAAAACCAATCAAATCAATCAAATAATTCTGACTTTGTTTAAGATCGTGATTATAATTATAATTTTTGATCGATTTATGAATTTCATAAATGTACTGTATCATTATTACTAATTATTCATGATTATTGAACCTGCATATACCCATTTTAAGATCTAAAATAAATAAAACTCTATAAATGCTTCCTTATTGGAATGATAAAATGATAATAGTTCACCAATAGATTATACCATTTCCTTTTGTTATTATGATAATCTTTGTTTATTTAGTTAAGAATTATTATTTACTATTTTAAAAATTATCATTTAAAGTTTTTTTTCATGAAATGCTTAATCAATCAAATCAAATCATTTAAGTTTGTATTCATAATTTTGATTCAGTTTAATACATGCATAACTTGTATAACTTACTACAAATTATGAACATTATCTTCAAATCGAAAAATGATATCTTTCGAAAATTGTACATTGTTTTATTCAAAAACAGTGCGACTATGTCGGAAAAATGTTTTCTTATCAGAGCAAAAATAATAGTTACCAATAGATTTACATCATTTCCTTTTGTTTATATATATTATAGGTTTTGTTTACTTATTTGCTTAGTTAAGACTTATATTCAATAGTGATTGTTATAATTCAAAAAAAAAAAAATTTTTAAATACCTAAATCAATCAAAATCAAATAATTTAAGTTTGTGATTGTATTTATAATTTGGATGATTTACCACAAAAATTTCGACAATCAGAATATCCCCAACCCTGACAATCCGACATTCATTATCACAAAAATTTTAAAAAAATTATTTATTAAATATTAATCACTGAGTATATTAAATTATATCATCATATGCAAAAAAAAATTGCATATAAAGCTGTAAACTAGGAATTTATTTTTTTATAATTAACTAATAACATTAAATAATAATTCACTAAATTTTGCAAAGTATTATTAAATATCAATATTGTTGATTTTACGAATTACGATGCATTAATAAAAAAAAAAAATATTGATTTTTACAATAAAGAACCTTAATTCTTGCGAAACATTTTCATATATCAATAAAAATATTAATTGTTAATGATACAGAGTAATACAAAATTATTAAAAAAAAAAAAAATTGTGTTCGGGGATAATGAGTGTCGGGATTTGAATCTTCATTTGTTCATGATTCTGATCGTCGGGATTTTTTGAATGGTTCCCAATTTGAAATGTATACATTATAAATTATTTACCCATTAAAAATCTATATTTCGAAGTTGTTTATAATTCAGAAGATTTTACCTAAAATAAATCATTTTTGTAATTATGATTTTAATTTTGTGTTATGCTTATTCAATTTAAGATTTTTTATATTAAAAAAATATTGAATATATTTTGTGGGCTGAATTCATTGTTTTATTTAAACAATAGTGTAACTATGTCGGTAAAATGTTTTCTTAATCAGAGTGATGATACTGTAGTTCACAATAAATTATAATTCAAGTGATCTACATATTTATAAACCAATCAAAAATCAAATCATTTTTGCCTTTTGTTTGTAATCGTTATTTTTATAAATTATAATTTTGATTCAATTTATAGATTTCATACATGTACTATATTAACTTGCAGTTTGTTACAAACTATAATGAAACTTTAACATTATTTTTAAAAAATCGAAGAATTGCGTAACGTGTCCATTGTTCTAATAAACAATAGTGTAACTAAATGTCGGCAAAATGTTTTCGCCGGAGTCTTATCAGTGACCAATAGATCTATTCAGTTATTACTGGTCAGTTGCATCAGTTATATATCCCTGTAAAAAAAAGTCAATCCGTTTTTTATATTCCAACTTTTTTCCGTAAAAGGCTCACATTTCCGGAATTAATAACCTTATATCGCGGAATTATTTACATTTTCCGTGAATGGATCCGTGAAAGGCTCATTTTTACGGAATTTTTACAGAAATAACGGATAAAATTTTTTATAGGGTTATTTTAATAAAGAAAATTTTCATCTATCCTTGTTTAGGATTGTGATTATAATATATTTCATATATGTATATACAGATTACAAATGGTTTACATAATCATTTTAAAATGAAAAAAATGTTAAACTTGTGCACTATTAATTAATCATTAGTGCAACTATATCTTTTCTTATCAGAATGGATAATAGTTCACAATAAATTTCTTTCTTTTGTTTATACTTTATATAGTTTAGTTTATTTATTTATTATCTTAAAATGATTTAAGTGATCATTTATTTGCATTTGTTTTTAAATAACGATTTTTATAAAACAACAAACCAATCAAAATCAAATCATTTACCTTTCATACATGTACTCACTTACAAATTGTATTGAAACTTAACAAAAACTTAAAAAAAAATCAAAAATTGCGTAACGTGTCCATTGTTTTATTAAACAATAGTGTAACTATGTCGGTAAAATGTTTGCTCCGGAGCGTGACCAATAATCAATAGATTTACTTGATGATCATTTGCATTTTATAACCAATTGTTTAAAAATTGAGATACATGTACTGTACTGTATTCTTTCAGAATATCTTACAAATAATGCAGTGAACTTATTAAAAATGAATGTTCAAACAATAGTGTAACTATTTAATGTTTTCTTATAAAGTGATAATGATTCACTAGTACACCAATTAAAGTTCTTTCGACTTATATAGTTTTTGTTTGTGATCTTTTGACATGTGTTATTTATTAACTTATTAATTTATTAATTTAGGAAATTTTTTTTTTATGGAATGCCCAATAAATCATTCTGCCTTTGTTAAAGTACATTTTCTATACAAAATAATTAAAGTGTAACTTATGTCAGCAAAAAGTTTTCGTCAAAAAAAAAATCGAATATTTTTTTATACTTTTTAAATATTGTGAATCACAGGAAAAAAGATTTGTAAATTTGGTATTTTAAGCTGACGAAAAATTCCAATTTCGATAATCGTTACGAAGCCCAGAACTTATCACGTTGGAAATGATACAATAACATGAAAGGTCAAACTATACTTGCCATCGGAATTAATTGCGCTTATACCGTAATATATTAAAATCGCCGTGATACTGTAATTATTTTAATGCCAAATATACAAAAATTACACAAAAGAAAGTAAATATTTTTTTTATTATTATTATGCCGTAAATAATAATTTGTAATCCGTAAATCTATAATGCTGATCTTGAAAATGGTAAAATCCATATTTCGTAATGCCGTAATTTCAATTCGGCAATTCCGATTTTCGATGGCACCTAATCTATAGGTTAAACAAAGAAAAAAATAGGCAAAGCTGATATATATTATTTGATTCACTTTAATTTATTTTGCATTTGTTGTATACAAATTTGTACAAAAAAAAATAATACTGTTAGGTAGGGAATGATTCACACTATACTAAATTGTTTGTGTAAATGACTACTTGAGTAATTTATTTTGTTTCATATTTGTTATAAAATTTTTATATTTGGGTGCGTTAAAAAAATTACACATTTGTAATACATGAACTAATTATATATCGACTCAAGGGAGTATCACCTCATCTAAAAATATATAGTCCTTCGCTTACGCTAATGGGAATCACAATGTTTCAAAAAATATTTTTTTTTGGTGGGGTATACACACCATTTTGAAACAGTCACTTGCAAATAAGGTAATCATGAGTGTGTATTAACCAAATATTGATTTTTAAAAATATCAAAAAAAAATTGTATAAAACGGGTTGAACCAATCAAATCATAAAGTTTATTTTTAATACATGTATTCTATCATGATCACTCATGATTATAACAAATGAATCTAATAAAAATATAAAAAATTTTCCCATACTAATAAAAGTTGAGTAAATATTAGTCAGATCAGATGTTTAATAACCTGATTAGTTGATATTAAACTAAATTCGGAAAGTGAGAATTCATAATTTATAAAATTGATAAATCTCTGATCTTTTTTTTTTTTTTTTTTTTTTTTTTTTCTTCTCTTTCTTTTTTAATAATTATCAAACATGTCAGAAGTCAGAAATATATTAATAATTGGACGAACAGGCAATGGAAAATCAACACTTGCTAATGTTTTAAGCAATTCATGGAATTTTTTAGAAAGTTCAGGTAGTATTAGTAAAACTAAAAACTTCCAAAGTGAAACTTTTGAATGGGGAGAAACAAAATATCGTGTATTTGATACTATAGGAATTGGAGATACACAATTATCCAAAGCAACTATTTTATATAGAATTGCGGAAGGTATTAATTTTATGGAAGGAGGGATAAACCAAGTACTTTTTATTGTAGGAGGAAGATTTACAGAAGAAGAAGTAAATGCTTTTAATTTGTTTCGACTTGTCCTACATGAATCTCGAATTCTTGAATATACAACACTTGTGAGAACCAAATTTTCTCGATTCAAAAATTCCGAAAAATGTCGAGAAGATAATGAAGAATTACTTAGAGAGAATGAAGAAATTGTTAATTCATTTAAGAAGGTTATTTATGTAGATAATCCATCGATAGATACGGATGATGAGGAAGAAAGAAGAATTAATGGAAATAAGAGAGATCAATCAAGAGAAATTATATTAAATTATTTGAAAGATGAATGTAATGATAATTATGAGTTAGAATGTTGGAGTAGAATAAGCCTTAATTTTTCTAGTTATATAGGAAGGAAATTAGAATTGGAAAGGAAGAATGGAGAAGAGAATGATTCATTCTTTTTAAAATTAGAAAGTGCAAGAAATGAATTAGCCCAGAAAGTATCTACATTACTTCAAAGAGAGATTCCTTCAATTAATGATAACAAACGGTCTTGGTGGTCACTTTTTTAATTATTACCTTTGACCTTTAGAAAATATATTATAGTTGTTTACGTTTTATCATGTATATCTTTTTTTCCAATTGATTTAATAAATATTGATATTAACCTGTATTGCGAAATCAAATATGACGTAAATCAATGTGCAAGTAAAGAATGATATGTTGTACAAATTGTTTAATTGGTTGACTTTCAGCTGATAGGCTCAGATATCGATCTCACGCTATTTGACATATGGTAAAGTCTCACGTTTTTGAGGGTGAAAGTTGTCAGAGATTATCAAGTATATCAAGTATATCAGGTAATCACTGTCGCTTTCGAAATAGTCTAAATTGAATGATATCCGGTTTTTGATTTGTAATCGTATGGGTAATCTACATCCGTAAATTAAAGAAAAACTGTGTATAACTGATAATATTTTTATGGAAAATTTTGATAAATAAAGTTTATAAACCTGAATCAATTTTAACTCTTGTTTTTTTCTTCCGAGTTCCGACCGGTTTGTAAGTATCACAAGTAAAAGTATCTTGAAAGTTTAATAAACAAAACTTTAATTAAATCATTTAATTCATCATTTTTTTAAATAAAATTCATAAATTCATCAACTTTTTTTTTATATTTCTCCTTTTCATCTTATAAATAAAAATACTAATTTTTAAGTAAAAATTTGGTAAAAATGGGGTTAACGTTAAAGTATCGAATTAATTCTCTTTTATTTCTATTAACCAATGTAAATACATATGATTCAATGTAAATGCATATGATTCATATGATTCACAATTCAATTGAGATCAATATGTGGCTCTATACACTAACATTCTTAATATGTAATCATTTCAAACATGACTAGATGATTTAATATTTAGTTGACAAAGAAATTTTTTAAAAAGTAAAATGTACAATAATATCTTTTTAGTCGCTTACAATAAAAAGGTGTATCAGAAAGTGTGTTTTGTGTAATGAAAATGTAATAATTTTAATCCATCTTAAAAAGTTAATCCGTCCCGATTGAAAGATATTTTCTCATTTTACCACATGTTCTATATTAAACCTTAAAAATCAGCGTGAGAATAAAAAAAAGGAGATTACACTAAAATTATACCATACAAAGTAAACTGCCAAGATTATCAAAATTTTAGTTTTTTTAGCCCAGTATAAATTAATTCATTTTCAACATTTATAACGGATAATTAATTCCGTACACAACGCAGTACGCAGATTTTTAGAAATTCTAATGAAATAAAGAGGACAATAATAAATATTGTTTTTTGTCTATTTATGATACCAAATTAAGAAAACTTTGTATCATGATCGAGAAACGTAATGCATGATATATGCATTAAACTTTCTTTGAATTAATTAAGTTTCATTTTATCAAAAAGTTGTTCTTTATCATTATAACCGGTTTTTTTTTTTTTTTCTAATATTTCTTTTTTTAGATTAAAATGATCAAAATGATCAAATTTGATCCTTTTCGGTTCTTTTGAACTTTCGAAATCCCTTTCATCAATTACCAATTAAAGAATTCTTCATTTCAATTATCGGAAATGGGTTTCCATAAGTACTTTATCATCAAATCATCAAAATTTCATAAAAAATTTTCTCTTTTAAACGACTTTTTCTTGGCAAAATAAATTTTATTCAAAAAAAAAAAATTAAAATAAATTTTTTTTTTAAGATGGAAACATTCGATGATTATAATAATAATTCGGATGATAAACCTTTCGAAGATCCATTACAAAATCCATATTTTAGATATTATTTAGAATATATTAATAATTCTTATGATTTTATAAAACTACAAAATGATGTTACATACTTACAAAACGCTTATAATGATTATTTTGATAAATTAATTGAATATTGTAGACCAAATTATCCTCCTTATATAAACGTAGAAGAATATACTTTAAGTTTTGATGAAATTATTAAAAATAAAAGAAGGGTTAAGGATATAACAAAAAAGAACGCAGGAAATTCTTTTATGTTATATAGAAAATATCTTTATAAATATTTAGAAACTTCTGGAATAAATATTCCTATGCAATCTCTTTCTTCTTTAGCTGGTCATTTATGGGCAAGTGAACCAAAATTTGTAAAAGATTATTATAAGAAACTTTCAGATCAAATAAAGAATTTACATAATGAAAGATTAAAGGATTTAATACAGAGTATACCTAATAAACGTAAACAACCATCAGATGATGATCAATTTGAGTTATTATATGCCAAATTTCAACGTTTAAGCGAATAATTATAATCTTGGGAATAAAAGATTAGTAAGATTTAGATTAAGAAGATTTAAGATGTATTGAGATTATGATGATGATTGATTAGTGTTTTTATTATTAGCTTAGGCCTTAGAGATAGTTCCTTGGAACATTTATATAAATAGTATTTTCATTTAGCATTTTATCAATTTTATCAAGAACATTTTTAAATGTATTTGTTTTTCAAATACTTTTCTATATTAATAAATAATTTATTTATTTTACTACATGTAAATGCTATTAAGTTCGTATAAATGCGCTATCTAATTATTATTCTAGAATTTCTACTTTTTAAGAAGGCATGTTAAAAGAAAAGTTGTATCAAAATATTTAGCATGACTAAGAAGGGATTTAAAAGGAAGTGAATTACTACATCTTTTATCTTCAGCATTTTGACAAACTACCACTTCATTTTTTGGATCAATCCAAATTTCTGGTCCATAATGATTATAACTAAGTGAACGAAAAGGTAAATGAGGTATAATATCATTCTTATTTACTATTCTAAAAAATTTATGTCCTGAATTCGTAACAAATTGTGTGAATTCTTTATTACCAGTACGTGGTTGACCATAAGTATAAGTAAAAAGGTTTGAAGGATTTAATCCTGGTGTACCAATTAAATCTAAAGTTTGAAATAATGCCAAACTTCCTCCTAATGAATGTCCTGTTGATATTACTTTATAATTAGGATTCTTTTTAACTAATTGTTTAACTAATTCTGTAATCTCATTTTTTGTATCATTATAAGTAGAAAAAAATCCTGAATGTACTTTAGCTTTAGGTACAGATGATGAAAATGGTATTAATTTAACTTCAAAATCTTGTAAGAATGATTGTTCATCAGATGTGCCTCTATAAGCTACTATAATAGCTTTTTCTTTATCATTAATAGCAACATAACCATTATTATCTCTTTTTGGTGAATCTTTAAAGAATTTTATTAATCGAGTTCCTTCCGTTTCACCTTCACATGCTTTACCACATTTCCAATCTGTTACATCACAATATGCGGCACTAAAAAAATGGTAACCTGGTTAATTTTGATGTTTTTCACGTGATTTGATAAAAGAAAACTTTCTTTTTACCTAGCATATTTTGCCCATAATTTAAATTCTCGAATATCGGATTCAGATGAAATATCTTGACGTTTATTAATAGGAGATGCATCAGATGTAATAATCATAATGGTTAATGCTAATACAAGAAATTTTCCAATCAAGGAAAAAATAAAGTATAAACCAGTCATTTTTGTTAAAAAAGGGATATTATAGGATTTAGGAATTTAGGAATTAATTTTGTTGGAGAAGGAGAGTGAAAAAAAAAAATTAATCTTTTTATGAATACAGTAATTCTTTTTTTTTCTAGAGGTGATTGCGGATAATGACTGAAGGGATGTTTAATGATAAAGAAGGCACAACTGAAAGGAGAGAGAGAGAGAGAAAGGAAGGAAGGAAATGAAGGGAAAAAGAGAGAAAAAAAATGAAAGGAAAAAGAATTAAAGAAAGTGAATTAATATTTGATCAAAGACTTCGGGGTGGTTGGATTTTATAGACATTTTTTGTAACATACCATTTGTTAATAATAATAATATAATTTCATTGATAAATTAACCAATAATAACAAAATCATATCGGAAAATGTGTGATGTGAATCGATTTTGGAAAACAAAAAAATTTAATCTTTGTACCGCAAGATGATCATTTTTTTTGGAATTCAATGAAATAAAATAATCCTGCATAAAATAATTCGAATTAAAAATAAAAAAAAAAAATATATAAAAATAAAATATATTTTTTTTTTTGGGAATAAGACTTACCAAATTTATATCACTAAAAGGGATTTCTTACAATTAAAAAAGAAAAATATATATTTGGTTTGAAACTTCTTTGTGTTATTTCCATTTTTTAAATATTAACAATGTAAAATGGAAATTATGTGTTCAATATTTAATTTAAATATGGTTAATACTAAAAAAAATTAAACGTTATATTCGTTATATTCGTTATATTACGAATTTATTTACGAATAATAAGTTTTTTTATTTGTAATATTTATTAACTTTATTCGATCATTTAAAATTAAAGTTTTTTTTTTTTAAGTTTTTTTTTTCAGTCATTGCCAAATTAGATATTATAATGCGGAGGTATTTCTAACGCATGGAAAGCGTGAGAATTCAGTAAATGATTATTTTATTTATGATATTATGTAAAAAATTTTATCTGCCAAGAAATCTTTTATTTTTAGAGTATGGAGAAAAGAAAGATAATATTATTCCATTATTTGTAATTTTTTGGGAAAAAAAAAAAAAATAATTAATAATAAAAAAAAACAAATTTATTTTTTTACGAATTTGTCTCTTTCTATCGTATTAATTCATATGGTATCGATTTTTTTTTTTTTCTTTTTATTAGTCTTTTTTTAATAATTGAATTTAATTACAATTCACGTAATTTGTTTTACGTACCTTCCCTCCTTATTAGAAGATTTATTAGAATAAAAAATGAGAATTATAGATTTAGTACTCGTACTCCATTGAGAGAATCACACAAAAATTTGTATCTACGTGTTAAAAGTTAAAAAAAAGTTAATTTAAAGTTTAAAAAGTGTGACGAAACCGGATCAAATCAACTTTATGCTGGTAAATAAGCATGTGGCAGTGCTATTATTAATGGTATATCGATTATCGATTTAAGGATTTAAGATTCTGATGCTTGATGATTTTTATCTAACAGATCAAATTGGAAATAATGAAATAATAATTTTGTTTTTTAAAGTTTTAAATTATCACTTATAGTCAATGATACGATCGATTACGAGATCACAATTTCATTAATTTCATTATAGATTTAGAGAGAACTTTTGATGTTCTGTCTGATAAATCCGAAATAAACAACGAGAGTGAGAATCACTCGTTTTTTTTAAAAATTTGATAATAAACTATTGTCCGAATGTTTATTGTGTAAGATGTTCTGTTTCGTTGAATTGTTGATGCGTTATTAAAATGATTCGCGTATTTACATTTTACACTCAAATCTATATATCTCGATGAGGTGATTATCAGTTCGCTGGTACCCTGCAAATTGGAATCTCTTAAGATTTCAAGCCTCCATTATTGATATTCCAAGTTAAAGGTTTCAAGATATTCAAGGATCATGACAGAAAAAGAAGACTAAATAGATTTTTCTGCCACACAATCAAAAGACAACTAATTCATTGCACTTTATTTTTATTTCATTTAAAAAAAGGCAAGAACAACTGCAATATCTTTTACTCTCATAAATACATATACTGATTACCTTATTTACCTATGATGAAATGCGAGTAGAGCACGTGCTCATTTCTAAAATGCGAGTTATTATATACATTTTAAACTGGATGAATCGTGCTTAATAATGGTATGATGTGGCGAAAAGCGCCACAATAATAATTAGTATTAAAATCTTTGATAGTTTTCAATGGTTTAACTCATGAATGATATACATGTTACTATCACTTATCGCAACAAATCACGAAAATATTGAAAATATTAATATATTAGTATTTTACACTTTCTCATATTTGACAGAGGCTTTTAAACGCAAGGCTTCTTAACGGTAAAAAACCTAGAGGTTTTCTCTAACGGTTAAAAGCCTGGAGGCTTTCAAATACAAGGCTTTCTAATGATTAAACGCGCTTATTGCTTATATCAAATAATACCACTATGCAAAGAATTAACAATAGGTAATATAAAATATATAATGAATTATTCACTTATTTACATTCTTTTAACTTTATTGTTATACATAGCATTTATAGCACGTATTGTATTGTTAATTCTAAAAAGCACGAAATGAAAAATATTGTACAAAATACAAAATTTACATGTTAAGACAAAAGACTTAAAATCGGCGACTTCATTTGTCGTACATATGAATTTAATTAGATATCTATAAAAAAATTCTTTTCGTTCTCTTTTTTTTTTGAAAATTTGGACTCGCCTATAATATAATTGTGTAAATCCTAGTATGTATCCTTCTCTTCAGATCGAATATTCTTTCCATAATACCTTGCTTCATTCTTTACATGATGTACCAAACAACTCTCAGAATGCTTATCAGTAAAGTTCATGTGCGCATTAATCCATTTCATACTCTTACAATCTTTAAATTCTTTTATACAGCTTGTCCGCAGCTCCCTCTCTTTCAATAAAGCGGTCCATCGATTTTGAGCAATCACACATTCTTTAAGAAAAGATAGTTCCAATGGACTCTCGAAATGTTTTCTGGTAGGAGAAGTTGAAGTTTGATTCCGTCCGTTTCGTTGTTGGTAAGCCGTATAAGTCGTACCCCGAAGTACACCAGGACGTCGAGGTTGACCGTTTGCTTGAGGATTATCTTTTAGCAAATCATAATCATATGCATAACTACTAAATCTTTTATTAACATTAGCATGTAACTCCTTTGTAATAGGTGAAAATTGATAGATCATCAATTCAAAAAAAGAATATATTCTCTTATTTCTTGGTTTACCAACTAGGCTTTGACGTTTCATTTGCATTGCTGAAGAAATTATCTCTTCTCGTGTTTCCTTCATATTATGAGTACAAAGCATAACTGTTGGATACTTCCCATTTACGGCTTTAACATGAGAAGGATCAGCAGTTTGTTTTGCATTCATGAAATTAGTATGAGGTGGTCGCGTCCCATTAGTAGGTTCAGCATAAGAAGGATAAGAAAGTGGTGTTTCTTTCATGGAGTTCGCAGGAGATGAAACAGGTGGAACTTCTTTAAAGACGTCATTAGATTTATTATTTATCGTTTTATTATCCATTTTTTTCTTAGGTGTTTCTTGTTCTAGAGACTTTGATGTAATCTGCTCATTTTGTATCATTTTACTTTCTTGAACGTTATTTACATTTGAATTTTTTGTTTCATTTTTATAATCTCTTCCAAAATTAAGATCACACAAGAGCTGATCGATCATAGAAACATTTACGTCTTGAACCGCTTTTCTAATAGGATCACTATCAAAATTATCGTCATTAGAAATTAACCAGTCATCATCAAAATTCATTAGATCAACAACGGTTGACGTGTCATTAAAGTTAGAAGACATTTGTGGCTCTTCTTCAATGGTACCCGCTGTTTATTAATATAGAATACCTTTAATAAAAATATATATATTTTTTTTTTATGACTTTAAAAACTCTAAAAAATTATTTACCCTGTACTGAATCTTGTAAAGATACTTGATCACTAACAGACTTAAGCTTGATATTTATCGTGTCGTAGCTGACCTTTTTCACTTCTTGAGGAAGCTGCGGAACTACAGGGTCACACATTATTTAAGCTATTTGTAAAAAGAAAACGCGTTAAAGTTTACGTAATAAAAAGGAAAGAAGAAGAAGAGGAAGAAGAAAAAGTAATTATTAAATACCTTCCCGAATAACTTTATTTTGAAATAATAAAGAAAATAAGGGAGGAAACGAATTCGGAACTTTGTAACGAGCTTATAACTAGTTTATCTAACTAGTTTTAAAACATGTATTTATTTATGTCACATGCGATTTATTAATTGTGCATGGGAAATATGAGATTAACAAAGATCAGGCTATATGTTTATCAATTTAATCGAGTTAGTAAAGTTAGTATTTATATTTTTATATATCACATCATTGTATTAAAAAATGTGACAAACTGTGACTGTGTTAAGTAATTGTTTTTTAAGCAGTGTGATTTTTATCGGACTTTAATCGCGGACTTTTATTTCAAATCAACTCTTTTACTTGAAAAATAAAAAAATGTCTACTAATACTAATAAAGGAGAAAAAAATAAAGTTCCAGTCAAACCTGGTCAAGAAAGTAACAAAGAAGTAACTTCTACCTCTGACTTCCTTTCAGATCCTAAAATGCACTTTGTTGAGGCGATTGGTAAATGGACTTATACAAATGACGACGGAGTAACCTTACAGTTTGACGAAGATCTGCAGCAATGGACTCAAATCGTAATTTATGCTCTCGTTTATGATAACCAAAAGCAAACCATTTTATGTTTTGATAAAAATAATGTTGATTTTTTTTAGGATGAGGATCTTTTGCTTATACTTCAACAATCTGCTTATTCAGTTCCTGGTGTTAACGAAAGTGTAAGATATATATTACTATAAAAAAGTTAGAAATTTTCTTCAGGAATACACATAGATATTGTTTTTTTTCGCCACCAAAGGAGCCCGCTGTCCCTTTAAAACGAGGCAAACGGAAAAATGATGTTTATACCTCTAACGATGTATGTATTTTCAAGTTGATCTTTTCATATAATATAAATTTAATTTATAATTAATTTTTTATATTAATTTCTTAATATATAGACAGAACAAGATTCCAAAAAGCAAAAGCAAAATAGTCAAAAGAAAAAACCCGTAAACACATCTGTTTACGTTACCGGTTTACCCCCCGATGTCACTGTTGAAGAATTAGCTGAAGTATTTTCTAAATATGGAGTTTTAATGGAAGATCTGGTTGCCGGTAATTAATTTATTATAATATTACTTAAATCGATCGTTTATTGATTCTTATTATCAACAAATTTTAGGAGGACCAAAAATAAAACTTTACAAGGATGATAAGGATCGATTAAAGGGAGATGCTCTTGTTACTTATTTAAAAGAAGAATCTGTTGCATTAGCTTGTCAATTGTTGGATGAAACACAGCTTCGTCCAGAGGAAGTTTCTGTAATACGCGTACAAAAAGTAATGTGATATAATTATTATTATTTTCGTCAACTTTTAACAGGCCATAATATTAATTTTTATAATTTTTATAGGCACAATTTAGAGAGAAAGAACCAAAACCAGATGCAAATCAAAATGATAACAAGTTAGATAAGAAAAAAGTTCAAAAGAAATTGCATCAACTTGAAAAGTATGATGTTATAATAAGAAAAAAAAAAAAAGAAATATTTCATACATTATTTGAATTAACTTGATATATGACTTTTTTTGTTTATTAGGAAATTGGATTGGTATGAATCTGAACCCGGGAAAAAAGCTGAGCGATATAATAAAATAGTAATTTTGAAGCACATGTTCACTTTAGAAGAATTAGAGGTATGAACTTAAATATATATTATGAATTATGAATTTAAATTATCAACAAATATATTGATTTTTAATCTTTATCGTTAAAAGAGCGATATTACTTTACTCTTGGACTTAAAAGAAGATATTCGTGCAGAATGTGAGAAATTAGGAGAAGTTACCAATGTGATATTATATGACGTATGTGTAATTTTATTACAAATTATTTGTAATAGGCCAAAACTACAACTTTTTTTTTCAATTTAACAGAAAGAACCGGAAGGAGTAGTGTCTGTAAAGTTTAAGGATCAATTAAGTGCTGATGCATGCGTAATGGTATATATTTAATTGAAATGAATGAATGATGTGACGGTATATTAAAAATTGTATTTATGTGATTTATTAGAAAATGAATGGACGATTTTTTGCTGGTCGTCGTATTGAAGCAGAAATATTCGATGGCAAACAAAAATATCAAAAGACTAATGCGAAGTCTGGAGAGACTGAAGAAGAAGAATCTGTACGACTAGAAAAGTATTCTAAATGGTTAGAACAAGAAGTTTAAAAACGAGTAAATAATTTTATTAGACTAAGGTAAGCTGTTAACTCAGTACATTTGTTGGTTAGTTAATTTAATAATAAAGAGTATATTGAAGAACATTTTAGGAACAAAAAGCTTTGTTTAATTTTTTATTAGTTTATTAGTTTATTAGTTTAAACATTAATCGGTATCTGGATGGACTTTTTTTTACATATACTTAAATTAATATAGCTTATTTCAAATTATTTAATTTATTATAAGATAGATATATTATTATTCTTGATTCATTATAAATTAAATTTAATTTTTTTTTTTCTTTTGATAATAAAAAATTGTTAAAATATTATTAGTGATATAAGAGATAAAGTCCATTAAAATAAAGTTATTGCAAAGAGAGCAGCTAAAGTTAAAACACTAAACCCATAATTATGAATAGAATTTGAAGAACTCTTAGGTGTAACAGATGGAGCACTTGAAGAAGTTGGCGATGGTGTAGGAGTAGGAGTAGAATAAGCTGTTGGCGTGGTACCAGCTTCTTTAATTTCAAAAGTTTCCGAAGTTGCATAAATTGAATTAATATTTCCAATATCTGTGAAAATCAATTGAAAACCTGTGTAGTTGTTTAAAAGAATAATTAATAAAATGAATAAATGTTTAATTAAAAGTGTATAAATTTTATAAAAATTATTTACCAGTGTAATTCATATTTGCTCCTATTTCAACATCTTTTTTACCAAGTCTTGGATCAACATTATTAGCAACAGCAAATTGTTTTAAATCGGAAATATTCTAATATGGGAAAAGATAAATAAATAAATGGATAAATAAGTAAAAAAAATAAAATTATAACTTGTTTTAAAAAAAATGATTGTTAATTTTTACCGCATTTATTAAAAAGATCGAAAATGGTAAAGTATCAGTTATTTCAGAAGTCCACATTATTTCATTGGTTTGACCTGCTACTAAATAGTATTTAGATGATGGAAATAAAATATTTATCGTGGCTTTTTTTGTCAAAAAAAAAAAAAAAAAAAAAAAATTGGAATTAGTAAAATTAGCAAATCATTTTATTTTTTTTAAATAGTTTATTATAGTTTAGTTTAGTTTAATTTTACCTGATACAAATGTTGCAATAAATGCTAAGAGACAAAAAGTAATTTGAATAATCTTCATGATTTCTGAATAAATTCTCGAGAAAAAAAACAAGAAAAACAAGAAAAAAGCAAGAAAAAAAAAAAAAATTGTTTTTTTCCTAGTTCGAATTTAACGGTAGGATTTTATGGAGTATATTTAGTATATTTATATATTTTCTATTGTCAAAAACCTTATGATGTTCTTTAATTAGCATCGTTTTTTTTTCTTTTTTTGCAACACAAAATATAAATAATTCCCCCCGCAATGTTACTATGACCCATAACTAGAAATATCCAATTAGTGAAGTACATGCTCTCAAATGACGACTTTCGATCATAAACTCTAGTACACAAATAGCTTAAATCATTGTCTAAGCCTTTTCATATATGGAGTTCATACATACATATGGAGTAAATTCATCCCTTTAACCCGTTCATTCATTCATTCACTGAGTGAATCATCTTATTTCAAAATGTTATAGCAATAGAAAAATAATAGAAGGCATCAGGTTATGTTGATCAATCTATATAAAGGCTGTTCTAAGAGGGTTAAAATTAATGCATATGTATGTTCACTACATTAATTATCACTTTTTTAATTGAATATAATTATTTATATTTAATGTATTAGAGTGACAAATAGATTGTAATTACGTCTTTATCCTTCATGGCAACTTTTGAAAGATGGAATCACCAGATTTTCTGATCACAGCCCAAACTAATTTTAGAATTTTTTTCTAACATACTGAATATATTTTTTTGGTAAAACTGTAACTACTTTATTCATTTAAAAAAGTAAAATGATTACAAATCGTAATCTAAATCTAATAGTTTTGCAGATAATATAACGATAACATACGTTTTGCTAATTCTCTCTCACTTAATTCACATGTTCTATCTACGGATCTACCGTCTTTTATTATCCCGGTGTCTCAATTTATTATTAGAATGAAAATAAAAAATGAATATACAATTACAAACAAAAGAACTAACCCTTAAATAGAAATACTTTTTGAAGTAATCCTTTGAACTAAGCCTTTTGAATAAGCCTTTCGAATTTCTCATGTTCTATTATTATAATCGTTATTTATCATTGTCAACTATTTATAACCTGTCTCTTATACACATCTAGATGTGTATAAGAGACAGGAACTAAGCCTTTTGAATAAGCCTTTCGAATTTCTCATGTTCTATTATTATAATCGTTATTTATCATTGTCAACTATTTATAACTATTTAGAATTTTCGTTTTCTTTTAATTAATTAAAAGATATTTTGGTTATAGCATAACAAAATATGATTTTTTTTTAATTTAGTAATGATTTATTTAATATATTATTTGCAATTTAATATATAATTTGCAATTTATATTACTACTTAAAAAAAATTTGAATTTTTGTAAAATAATCCATAAATATTGACAATATTCATATTAAGTTTGGCACTTTAAAAATTCTTTAGTTGTTAGTAGTTGTTAATAGTAAAAGAAATATATAGAAATTTTTCATTTGGTTTTATCTATTTTGAAATCAAATTATGAAATAAAGTAATTCAAATTTCAAAATAAATATACTGTACTTATATACATTTAAAAATTATATTATATTTTTATTTATTTAATAAATAATAACTTGGTAATAATAATTCTTTTTTCTATATTATTAAATATATACTGTATAATTATATACTTTTTTTATATCAATTATTAAAATATTATTTTATACTAATCATTCTTTAAATTACCTGCTACTTATTTTTATACTAAAAAATGGAATTAAATTGATTAAAAAAAAAAGACTAATTATTGATCTATTAATAATTAATATTAATTTGAAAAATACAAACAAATTATATAATTTTTTTTTTGTTTTTTTTAAAAAAAAACAAATTAATAAATATGAGAAAAAACAAACAAATTAATTACCTATATATGATTTTTTTTTTATTTTAATAATAATATAAAGGGTAAATTATTTATTTAATTCTATTATTACTTGTTTATATAATATTTACATATAATTTATATAATTTCAAGATTTTTACTTCAAATCACCAGGGTGATTAAATGATTAATTGGTTTAATTATAATTAATTATAATTAAATATTTCTAATTGATATATTAAACCAACTTATATTTATTTAATAAATTTATAATCAATCAGTTATTAATCAGTTATTAATCAGTTATTAATCAGTTTATCTAATTCTATAAATTTTTTAAGAAAGTGAATTTAAATTTGGTAATTTATTATTATTATTATTATTATTAGTTTTATTCAAATTAACAAGTAAATTAGGCAAATCAGTGACGATCTGCACTATATAAACATTACGTTATCACGTCACACGTTACATTTGTTCTTAAAAATTTTGATCTTTGAATTACTTCTTATCGGTTCCAAATCGGTCCAAATATTTACTTTTAATCAAATGTTGTACATACCCAGGCAAAAGCGGGGCTTTGCAAATTGCAATAGCGTTAGAAACCAATTCTTTATTCGATATAATGGATCAATACCACCACTACATTCCCAGATTCCTTCTACGTAACTTTGCTATTGACAAATATGAAAGGATATTCGAGAGCAATATAAAACAACAGAAAAAGAAAAATCGGAGGAAAGCTGAACTTCTTCAAACTTACGATAGAAATAAAGATCAACTGGGTGTTTACTTAATTAGTAGAACATATGGATACCAAAATATGTACAAAGATCTTAATAATAAAGACGTAATGCACGTAGAAGAAAGGCTGGCTAAACTTGAAAGACGAGCATCAGAAACGATCCACAATATTGTGAAGGCATCTAGAGTAGAAAATCAAGTCGTTTTACTTAGGAGAGATCTCGGAGAGCTACGCAAATTCCTCTTCATAATGAACTATCGAAACTGTCAAAGATGGTCTCAGTTTACTGACGAGAAATTTGATAGCATTACTTTGTCTATGGTAAAAACTTTTATGCAACAGCACAACTTACAAAAACCTAAAGAAGTATGGTTACAAAATATCAGTGAAATACTAGACACTCCGCATGAAGAAGTCGGAAATAATCAGAAAATCTTTTCTATAGATAGGGAAGACTACAAGCAGCGCATGATCGATTGTTTTCTAATAATCTGGCAGGCTGGCGAAAATGATGAATTTATTATAACCAGCAACGGATTTGGAATCTTTGAAGGAGTATCTGGTAACATGTTCGGAGCATTTCCATTTCAATATGCTTTCCATTCGTTTTATGTCATTTCTCCAAAGCTAGTGTTGGTCCTCTGCCCTACTGTGTTTCGAAAAGAAGTTGGAGCTGACGAGTTATACCGATTTTTTGGTGGTCAGCGCTCGATATTTGAAAACGTTCCTCATCCAGGTGCAACTCCGAACTATGTTAGCACTGGGAATTCTTCTCGCAGTAAACCAAAAAATGAGCATAGCCACTCAAAATTTGACGCAACTGACCCATTTGACTTGCGATCTCGCGCATTTGACATGACTTTAAACAGCATGGGTATTGAAAGACAGTGGAACGATACATTTACTTTTTCCTTTGTCAAACTCGATTCGGCCACCGTTCACCTCGTAAATTATATCTTGCTCAATGAGACTAAACCAGACTTAGTTTTGACTTTCCTTTCCCGTCCGTATCTTTATAAAACAATTGCCAAATACCATAAGAAAGTAGGTGTACAACATGACTTCTCGAATTTGAAAAAAAAGTTGTTTATAGCATTGAATAGGACTCACAAGGATGACTTGCATCTCCGGAAAAACATTCCGACCGGCCAGACATACAGTTGGAATGTACGTGAAACGAATTCAGAATCCTGATTGGGATTTGGATTTGAATTTTAATGGCACATATAAGCAAAATTTTGCAAAAAAAAGCTTTTACATGATGAAAGAATTTGGATTTATTATGAAAATTTCACTAAATAAGATCACAAAACACTACATTTGTCGTATGGTTACATATAATATGTATTAATTCCAGCCAATCCAGATCTTAATTAATGATCATGTTAATTATTTACGATTTACGATTTACAAAAGTAAAATGTAATGATTGTCTTTTCATTCTTAATAATTTTTAAAAATAATTTTTCAATACGAGACAAAATAAATTTGTAAATTGTGCCATAAGTTTTACTCTACATCTATGTTGAGAGGTTGGAAAAATACTTAATTTACTTAATTAACATAACAATAAATGTTATAAGCTATCTTTACAAATAAGTATATACTATAAGGATATTTATTCATCATTTACTTCATATAATATATGAATTTTTAATGAACAATTTGTACATCCTGTAATATTTGCTCCTTTTTCTAAATCTTGTTCTGTTATAATATAATTTCCACTACAACGACATGATATAGAATATAATTTCATTTCTATTTGTAAAAAAAAAAGAAATTATTATATCAAGATAATTAATAGAAATTTTCTTTAAGACTCGAAACTTCGTACCTTCGTTGTATTCCATATCATCTAAATCAACGTCTGCGTTATAAATTTCATGTTTTAATCGCATCGCTTATGACACATTTAATTAGTTTAACTTATTTTAAATTCTCTCTATAAAATAAATTAAGCGAGTTACCTTTCAATTCATCATCGTATACCTTCTTCAATTCAGGGTCTCTAAGCACTTTCCATGCTTTAATAATGGATTCAACTTTATGTTCTTTATTATAATTATTTTTGATATTCTCATCATCATTATTCATTACAAACCCTGTTTTATCTGGATGATGCTTACATCCTCGTCAGTTTATCAATTACATATACTCTGATATAAAGAATTAAGAAAACTTACGAGAAGTAATAATTTTTGATATTGTTGTTTAATTTGTTCAATTGACACATTTTCATCAGAAATTTCAAGTATTTCGTAATATGTTTGCGATTTTGTAAATACTTGACGATTAATATCCATTGAGAGTTGATAAAAAATATAAAAAATTAAAAAATTTAATAATCTCGAATCTCTCGTCACTTTTAAATTAATAATCCTGTACAACACGATCTTGCATTTAATGCGTGTATTAGTGTATATATATATGTATTTCACAAATTCCCAAAAATAATGGAAAAAGATCCGATTGAAGAAAAATCAAAAGAACAAAAAAATTTTGATAAATGGAGAAAAAGTTTGATGTATATAACAGGTTTAGGTTTATCAATAGAAGATAAAAAAAAAATCGAAAATGAATTAGAAAAGGATTTAGAAGATTATCAATGTAAACGATGCGAAAAGTGGAGAGATATATTAATGAGAAATAGTAAATATCATCAATTTTTTTTTTTTTTTTTAAAAAAAAAATTAACTTTATATTATCGTTCTTTATTTTACACAGGTCCAATAGTAACATTTATGTTAAAATCATTGGAAGAAGCAGGTTGTAAAATTGATAAGAGACATTTACAGTGTAAACCATGTGATGAAAGTCGTAGCGGTGGATTTTCTCCTGATCATGGAATACTTTTATGTCAAAATAGATTTTTTAGTAAAAAACATCAAGAAGATACTATGGTACACGAGATGATACATTTATTTGATCATTGTAAATTTAAAGTTGATTGGAATAATTGTTTACATCATGCCTGTAGCGAAGTTAGGGCTGCTAGTCTTAGTGGTGATTGTAGATGGACTCGTGAACTTCGTCGAGGGTTTTTCAATTTCACAAAACAACATCAGGTTACTTGTTTTTTTTTAACTTGTATTTATTTATTTACACAAAATTAATCTAACCGTTTGTTTTTTCCTACAAAAAAAGGCTTGTACAAAAAGACGCGCAATACTTTCCGTAAAACAAAACGATGCATGTTCAGCTCCTGGTGTAGCAGAACGTGCGGTTGCTGAAGTATTTGAAAATTGTTTCAACGATACACAACCCTTTGATGAAATTTATTAGTACTGTATTTCTATATTCAATAATTAAAATATCGAAAATTGACATCCAGTAACATATAAGTTACAAACAGTGTACATAAACAAAAGAAAAATATACTATAATTAATATAAATTTACAATCTAAAATTGAAATCTTTCTATTATTATTGTAATAATTTATTATGAAACCTCTCGATCGTCTTTATCATGTTCTTTAGCATTTATATCTGGTTCTTGTTCATCCTCTTCTTGTTCTTCATCTACTTCATGTCCCGATTCGTGTTCTGTTTGTTGATCTCCTTGTATATCATCATCTGTTTCATAATCTTCCATATCTATTTCCGGCGTTTCTTCATCATCTTCGTATTGCTCCACCTCATCATGCTCGTCGTAATCTTCCTCCTCTGGAATATTTACTAATTCCATCAATATTTCTAATTCTCCAGTTTGCCCACATAAATGTCTAAACAAACTGTCTGGATTATTTATGAGACGATATGGCGTATCAAATTCAACTATTTTACCATCATCTATTATATATTCCCCATAAAATAACATTAGATTAATGACATTAAAATGAAATTTACTCAAAACCAAAACTTACTCAGAACGAGAATTCGGTCCGAATGTATAATGGTTTTAAATCGGTGTGAAATGCATAATACTGTGGCGTTGTTAAACTCTTCTCTTATAGTTTCCTGTATTTTGTTGTCCGTTTCTGGATCAATGTTAGCAGTAGCTAAAAAAAAAAAGGTAACATTAAAATTAATGCTTAACAATTAACAGATATTTATCTTAGGCATCAACATACCTTCGTCCATTATGATTATCTATCCAAAAAATTAAAGTAAATAAAATAAATTTCACTATATCTTAACCTTTTTCATTACAAATCACATTTTCATACCTTTGACTGGCGCAATAATGCTCTAGCTAAACAAAGCAATTGTCTTTGACCTCTAGAAAAATTATGACCACCCTCATTTACAGGATCTTCTAGGTCCGTTATTGGTCCAATAATAATAAATTGATTATTCGTCTGATCTTCTTCTTCAATGTGAATAAGGTGAACTCTTCTCAATACTTCCCATAAATCTTGATCTTCATATTCATTTCGAATATCCAAATTTGATCGAATAGTTCCTTCAAATAGAATAGGATCTAATAGGAAAATAAATATATTTAAAAAACTTATTTGAACGAGAGGAAACAAATTGCAATTACAATTAATACCTTGAGATATTATAGTTAACCGTGATCTTAAATCTTCTAAACCTAAATTAGAAATATCTATCTCATCAATAACAATACGCCCTTCAGTTGGTTCAGTCAGACGAAGAAATGAATTAGCCAGTGTTGTTTTGCCAGAACCTGTTCTGCATATTAATAACAATAGTCATCTTTGTTAAAAAAGTTCCATATATACGAAAACAAGATTAGATTATACCTTCCGACAATTCCGATTTTTTCTTCAGCGTTCACAGTAAATGAAATGTCTCGAAGTACAGGTTCAAGTTGTGGTGAGTATTGTATCGTTAGGTTTGATACTTTAATTGTACCACTGGTTGGCCACTATTAATTTACTAAGATTAGAACCTATAAACTATATTACTAAAAGTAGTTAAATAAATTTATACATTACTGCAGCTGGAAGTTGTGCATTTTCAATAACAGCAGGTGGTTCCTGTGGCATTTCAATATATTCTTTAATACGTTCTACACTAATGAGGTAATAATATCAAATTGGCAAATTAACAAGGCAAATTATAATTGACTATTAACTAACATGACAATATAAAAAGTTTACACTGCTTTACCTACTCAAACTCGTTTCCATTGTAGTATAATCTTTGACGAGCATCTTCACAGAAATTTATTTTAAAATGTTATTGAAAAATAATATAAGAACTTGACAAAGTAATGTGTGAATGGAACTTACAAACACAATTTGAACGAATCCAAGTGCATAACTTAAAGAGAAACCAGCCAAACCAGCATCAATGTCATAATGCCAAAGAATGAACACTCCGGCCAGATATGATGCTACAGCTCCGATACTACCCATGCGAATTGACATCCATCGATTAGACATATGCAAAAGATATGTCGTCCTATTAGATGTATTAAGCCTAAACAATATGTATAAATATAAATAAAGTCTATTTTATTATTGACAAAAGATATCAACACAAATTTAAAACAAACCTTTCAATAAACTTTTTGACGTATCGATCCTCAGCATTGAACGCCCGGATAGTTGCAATACCCCTGGAGGAATAATATTCTTTCTATTATTATCAAAAATGTGATGTTAGGAAAAAAAATATTCTTTACTTACGATATTGTTTCGGAATACCATAATAGAACAGGAGATCGAGTAATTGATTGAAGTCTCTTTAATTCTCGAGAAACATTTATATACATCCCTCCAATGATTAGATACAAAATGACTATAATTACAATAAATCTTCAATTCTTTTTTTTTTAAAAAAAAAAAATGGTTAAATAAATGATGATAAAAACTTACTAACAACAACAGAGACCAGGAAAAATTCATATGTTACAGCTGTTACAACTACAAGAACACTTATTGCGCCTATGGCATTTCCAAGAAAACTTGTAATAACAGTTACAAGTCCTTGATCTACCATTCCTAGATCTTTTGAAAACCTATTCATTACCCTGCCCAATGGAGCTGTGTCAAAAAAGCTTAACGGCGCTCTAAGTATTGCATTTAAAAGTTTTGAAAATAAAGTCCTTGAACCTTTAAGTGAAACAAGAAAGAATTGCCACGCCATACGAATAATAGTGAAAACGGCAGATGCTAAAGCTATAAGAGCATATATCGGAATGTATTTTGCCAAGGCTGGATTGTCTTCATTATTTCCTTCAGACCATACGGACCATACTTTTAACCAATAGGTTTCACCCACCGTTAATAGTCGTATGATTATAAATAAAATTATGAGTATAAACCACAATATTATTCCACCACTAGATTTAAAATAAAAGTAGTAAACTCCTAGTTGGACCTTTCCTTGGAAACGAGCTGTATATAAAATAGACATTTTAGTTCGTTGTAATAATATTGATATATGCGGAATTACTGCTTAAATATATTAACCTTCTTCAATTGCCCAATTTTTTTTGTCAGCAACTGATTTTTCTATAGCCTGATTTACCAGATTCTGGTCTGTTTTATCTATATGTTCTGGTTCTGGTTTAACCTCTTTTCCGAGCACTTCTTCAGTAAGTGAACCGGCTTCACGCAATTCTTCCGGAGTACCTTTAGCTTGAACCAAACCATCTCCAAGTATAGCAATATAAGCTGCATTATCCACAAAATATCTCACATGTTGGGTTACCATTATTACAGTTCGACCATGAATTAGCGGACCATTAAGACAATTATCAATAATTTGATGTGCTAAAAAATAAACGATGAATACTCAATACGAAATGATAAAATGATAATAAGATAAATAAATCATTATAAACCTGTACTCGCATCTAGAGATGATAAACAATCATCTACAAGTAAAATCTTGGCAGAGCTGTACAGAGCCCGAGCAAGTGCTACACGGGCCTTTTGTCCATCATTAAGAATCATATTTTTCTCGTCATACTTTATTACATTAAGATGTAAGTTAAAATTTGAATAAAGAAATAATGAAATCACAAATTACTACTTATAAATCGTACCTCCGTGAAATCAGCTTGCTCAAAATTCTCAAAGTCTTTTGTCAAACAACAAGAATCAACAATGCTCCAATAACGATCATCATCAAAAGGTTCACCAAATAGGATATTGTCTCTAAAGGTTGCATTCTCCAACCACGCTTGTTGAGGGACATATACAATAGGCGAGGCAGGGAAATGAATTATCCCCCGTAAAATAAAAGTTTCGCGAAGAAGTGAAAGCATAAGAAGGGATTTGCCTGAAAATTTATTACCACCTTTTTTTTTGTTTCAGAAAAAAAAAATGCCAATCTATCATATAAGTATAAAGAATAAACTGATTCAAAAGAAAGAAATTAATATCCACCCATACATACAGATAAGACTCAGTTTACCCATAGGAAATTCCAAATTAACACCTTTCAATATAAAATCACTAGGACCTCTAATATGTTGACTCCAAGCAATATCAACATTATTAAATGAAATAGTAGTCCTTGCAGGGACTATGTTGAAACCTGGGCTTTCTCTTTGTACATCAGGTCCATGTAAAAACTTTTCAACTCTTCCTATAGCTACACCCAAACTTACAAGTTCAACAACTAAATTAGGGAATATCTGTAAAGGTTGTTTAAGTGTATTGAACAATGTGATACTTGTAAAGGCAATAGCAGCGGTCAAAGTGTTACCACTTGTGAACGCTGCAAAAGCAAATAATGTTACAAGGAATGGAGTGAGATGAACAAGCAATGTATGCATCGTGGTGCGCCAAAACAAACTTCGCAAATAAGTAAGTTCTTTTTTGCGCGATACTAACAATATAAATAATCAAAGGTTCAATATTAAATGATGATAGAATAATAATTTAAATAAAGTAATTATTGATCATTGATTGAAAATTAGACAATTACACATTAATCGTTCATGAAAACTACGTTCCCAAGCAAACATTTTAATCATTCGAACCGCATGGAGTAGCTATTTATAATTAAAAATTAATTTAGGGAACGTCATTAAAATAATAGAATATATAAATTATTATATATTTGTACCTCAAAAATTTCGCCGACTCTTTCATCTCTCGCTTTTTTCACTCGCTTTTGTAATCTGGTTATGCGTCTTCCAAATCTTTTATTGCTCCAAAGACATAAAATCATTACCCCAACACCAACAAGACTAGACCAGCCCAATAAAAAATATAAAAAAATCGTAGCAATTAAGATTTCGAGAGGTATTGTAATAATGAAGGGTAGATTAGAGAAAAAAGTCGCAATGTCATCGACATCCGTCGTAAGTACATTGCTTGTTCTGTTATTGGCAGATCTAGGAGACGCCTTCATACGCAATTGTTTTTTATATACTAAAATGCTAAGCATTTGTTCCACTCTAATTCCTAGCCATACCAACTGATAGTTCAATTGATTTAGGAAAATAATTCTTGAAATTTCAGACAATAATATTCCAAATATATAAAGATAAGGTTCTTCTGTATAATTTAATTTGTTTTTATGTGCTAAAGAAATACATATCAACAAACGATATAGGAAGAATGGAGTAGTAAAAGCAAAGACTGATCGAAATATCGCGATAATAAGAAAAAAAACTAGATTTGTAGCATTTGCGGCGAGTAATCGTGATAAAAGATCCATATTGTTCATTCTAAAAGCATGAATAAGCACGATCATGATGAGAAAATTTTTATGAAAACAGCACTATCAATATTCAATTACAATAATTAGAAATATTATACTTACTTTTCTAATTCATCATAACATTGAGCAGCTTGGCACCTTAATGGCAGTTCCCATAAATCTTCCTCTGAAAGAACACGTTTGTTCCCCAATTTAATAATAGGTGTCATCCATGCAAAAGATAATAATGACCATATGGAAGCAATCGTGTCATGAGATATTTCTCGGTTACTAGTATATTTCAATTCTGGATTTCTTGGTCTTTTAAGAGAGCAAGCTAATAATATACCACAAGCAATGACATTCCATATCGAAAAAACTAACTCGTAACCTTTCAAATCATGTCTGAGCATTGATCTGAGATTAATACAAGCAACTATTATAGAATACGTGTAAAACAAAAGAAGATGCCTTATATATGCATATTGGGTTTGATTTCTTCGTGTCATAAAATGGCACGCTATTAATGCACCAATATATAACTATGAATATTATAATTATATGAAATAAGTTAGTGATATTAAGAAAATCAAATTAAAATTCGTTCGAAAATAATACTCACCCAGGTAACAAATTGACCTATAGCACCAATTACTAAATATGGCTTAGCATTATCTTCTTCATATTTATCCATCCTCCAGCCGAAAAGAAATCCAATAAATCCTAAATGAAAGAAAGATATTACAAGTTGGGCAATATCATACTTCGAGACTGGTATTACCGGATCGCTTGGTAAAGGAGCATAATGACTTTGCCCGCGACATTGACGAACTATTAAATTTGTCACTGATAAAAGGATAATACATAGAGGAACGGCAGCATTAAGAATGCTGAATAATAAAATCGTTTAATTTCTTTTAGTAAAAGACCATGTATGTATGCATGCATATATACACTTCCTGGGCAAATAATTAATGAATTAATAAAAGTTTATAAAAAAAGTTGTTATGTAAACTTACATTTCTCGAGCGCAAGGAACAAGTTCAATGTTAATCGGATCCTAACCACAAATAAATAGTTCATAATTAATTGCACTAGCAGAATCGAATGCACGCGTAAGTGGTTGGTTAAACTTACCCAAACATCCGAATCACATAACCACTTCGTGCTTCTCAACATGACAAAAAACTTGAATTCTTAGTTGTAGATCATAAAAAATAAAAAACAGAGTACAGTATTTAAATGCCTAGAATCGGAACCGATTGATAGATAATCGCGTCTCCAAAAAGTATTTATTTACTGCACTAATGCACTAGATTGTTAGTTCTTGCATTGGCTAAAGATTATCCAATCGGAAATTTTTTGATGAGACGTTAATCGAATGTTGCACGCATTAGTGAATTTATTATCTAGGATTGATCTGATGATCAGATCAGAAGTTTGATTTCTTTGAGCGCAACATGTCACATTCCATTTCTAATGAAAATTTATCAATTTTATCTGCAATAAAATTGCCACCATTTCCCGAAAATGAAACAAAATCACATTCGTTCTATAATCACATTTTTAATAGGATTGCTAACTTTCTTTTGTACAATACTCGGCTTTACCTTCCCACGGAACGCACATTTAAGTTTTTGGAAATTGAATTTTATTTAAATGATGCTACAAATGATCATGATGACCCATATTCTCATGGACATGAGCATCAATTAACTTGTGGAGAATGGTATTTTCATCGTGTTGGAAAAAGCGGTTATCGAGGCGGGACAAGAAAAGGAATTGATATTACATTTGGCTCAGCGGAAAGAAAAATATATGGAGGAATATTAATACGAGCTATTCAAGATGAATTGACCAAAGAAGTTATAGAAGGACCAAGCCTTGTTGTTGACAAAATTCTAGAGGCATGTGGTGTAAATCAAGGAGGAATTCGAGAAATGGTAGAAAATGTATGGAAAGGAAAAAGCGAAATTTTACATGATATGAATAATACTAACGGTTTGGTTTATTTGATACAAGTAAATGATGAATTGACAAATATCGATGACATTGTTAAAAGAGACAAGAAAAGACTAAAATACTCAACAGGCCTTACTTCTCCATATTTTGATCAGAAGTCCTCCGGTACGCCATTGACGAGAGATAGCAATAAAATATATACTTCACCAAGAGTCGGAATTACGTTATCCAATAAAATGCCGTCGGTTAATCTTCGTTTACAATATTTACTAAAACCCTATAGATTCTTTACTTCGCCACACCTTCTAGATAAAGGAAAAGCTCAACTTATTATCGGATTGTATGATCATTTTAAACAAATTGACAAAGTTGCAAAAGTAGCAGGTATTAGCCAATTTCAGGTAGAAAATTATGTTCAAGAAATGACAAATGGAATTAAAAATGGTGATCTTAATGAATTCATTGGAAAAAAAGGAAAAGGTATAAAAGGGATTGAGTATTGTCAAATGGCCGGGGCCGTGAAAAAAATTCTCGGCTGAAATTTACTACTTTATTTGTATGATAATAGCAAATATTTGATTGTTACACGTAAATGTTTTACAGATGTTAGTAACGTCACACTTTGGTGGCTTTCGAAGATTATCCAAACATATGATTCGCAGATCGTATTAATAAAAGTACATTATTATTAAAGTTTTCAGTATCATAAATTATTATTTCTAACATCATTTTTCGAAAATACATAAAAAACTTTTACAAGTCGATTTAAATTCATTGTCCCAAATGAGACCAAACAATAACGTTCGACGTGGTACCCCAAATTGTTTTTGTGGCCTTTCAGCATCGCCAGCTTATTCTGAAGAATTCGGATTATTATATGAATGTCATTATTTACACAATAACCCATGGAAGGAAGTTAATGAGGATCAATCCGCGGTTTCTGAAACTGTGAACGGGCGAGCAAGTCCTGATAGTGATCAGGTAAGATTAAAAGTACTTGATGAAATTAAATGCAATATTAATGATTTTACATTTCTCAAACTTACCAAATGCAGTCGGATAAAACTTGTGTTGCGTCTTCAAGTATAGATCATTCTTTGTCATCATCTGCTAAACAAATAGATAAACCTGTTTGTGGTTATCATATTCATAAGGATGCTTGGGATAGTTTTTTTGATCGTAAATATAATATAAATGCGGAACATCAAGAACTCGCTATTTGTCCATTTTTTAATTTCACGTTTTGTGCTTTCTTTGATTTACGAAATTCTTATCCTTTAAGCCATCCATCTCCTCCAAACTGTTTTTGTGGTCTTCCTGTTATGATGAGACACGAGTTTCATGGAAAGTTGATGTTCACATGTCCAAATTATCTTATTGATGGTGCGAGACCTAAATGTACATGGAAATTATGGGCAAACGAGGTCCCATTTCAAAAAACTAATGGGTGTACACATCCTTTACAAAAACAAGGTATAACTAGACTTTTAGATCCTAGTCGACAAATACAAAATTGTAATCGCTCAATTGTAAAAAGAGAAACATTCAATAACCGCAATACTTTTTCAAGAAGTCGATTCGAAAGAAATAATTATAATAATAGTGGAAGATTCCAACGAGAAACAAGGCCCAACAGCGATAAGTATTCATCTTACAAAAGGGATTCTAATTATCATTCTTCAGAGAGATTGGATCGTAATTATAGAAGAGAACATGATTTCGGATCAAGGGATCATAATTACCAGTATCAACAAACTACATTTAATAATAGAAGTTCAAACGTATCGAGAAGAATAAGTAATGGGACAGGATGGGACCCTGGACGTAATCGGAATAAGGGCCAATCGCGACAATACACTATAAAGGGGTGTAAACCTCCAACTCGATGGAATAGTAATGATTCGAATTATTCATATCATGGAGATAATTCGAATGGACAGTCAATAGAATCTAATAAGTCATTGAATATTAATGGAAACAATGTAGAAAAGGTAACAGTTAATGAAAGTCTTCTAAAGTCAGAAAATGACGAATTAAAGCGTTGTAAAGATAAAGATTTATGTAATAATCGAGAGAAGAACAATATTATTTCCAATGATACAGAAAATAAGGAATTAAGATCATCAGAAATGGTAAATAATTCAAATAGAGAACAACCTGTTTCTAATGTTAGAAAAAATGGAGTTGATAAATCTGTGAAAAATTGTCTTGAAAAAGACATTATAAAGGAACCCTTATATGTTAGAGATAATCCTCGAACTAGTTCAGAAAGATCGGATTGCAGCGAAAAACGTTATAACGAAGAAAATGGTTCTTCGTCATCATTATCTAATAGAACCGATTCATCGAGACTTTCAATGAAGATTCATGTGAGGGAAATTCCTTATATTTCGACTTACAGTGAATTTTCCCAAACAAAACCCACAGATATTACAAATATGGCTCCAAAATGTGATTTCGTCGCAGAAACATCACGTCTTTTGACGGAAAACCAGAAGCTGATATCTGAAAATAAAAGTTTGAATTCTAAACAAGAAATTGATCAAATGGAAAAAAATGATTTACTTATGCAAGTGGAACAATTAAAAAATCGGGTGAACTACCTTGTTAGTAGGGTTGGACATTATAGATCTGAATACGATTCTGAACATAAATTCAGACAGTCTAGCCAGAAGAAGTTGATTGAACTTCAAGCACAAGTCGCAGATGTAATGAAGGAAATTGATGAATTACGTTCTTCAAGGGAGAAAGAAAGAGAAGAAATTGCTATGGGAAATATGAAATGTAAAGTATGTTTTGAAGGTCACATCACGCATGCCCTTTTACCCTGTCATCACTTTGCTTTGTGTAGTAAGTGTTCTCAGGTGATTACTAAATGCGTTATTTGTAGAAAACCAAAGGAAAATGTTGTTAGAATTTATTTGGGATGATAACAATATTTACATGAGATCAAGGCATTAAACCATAACATCATAAATTGTAACATAATTTATCCATAGAAACAACTTCAATATTATTTTGTATATATATATATATATATCATTTATTTTATTATAATTGCAAGATGTGTTAAGAGGCAATGATCAAAATTCCTAAACACATTAGTTATGCTAATTTTTTCAATCATATCAGTTATTAAAAAAAGTTTTTGAGTTTGATCTTTTTTGTGCTATTTATTTATAAAGAAATAAATTTATTTATTCAATTTTTTAAATTTTTTAGTTTCAAGTAATATGTATAAAATTAAGTCAAATGCAATTATACTATTAAGTACAAATAAGTATTGTTCCAACTTCCTCACACAAAAGTTTTCATCTCTTTATCTAAATTGTATGACCATAAATAACTCTAGCTTGTTTTCTTTCTTTTTGAATTTTATCCAACATTAATTTTCTTTGTACTAAACCATCTCTTGCAGCTAAACTAAGTATACCTGCTAATAATTCAATACCTCTAACAGAATCATCGTTAGCAGGTATAGGCCAAGTAACCTTACTAGGATCAAAATCAGTATCAACTATACCAATAGTAGGAATGTTACCGTATCGTGCTTCCTCAAGTGCAATCTCATTTTCTAAAGGATTTAATAAAACCAGTAAATCAGGTTTAAATGTTTTTGAAATAACATCATTTTCATTTTTTGGTATTAAATGACCTAAAGTTTGTTGAGAATTTGTTATAGTACCAGGTAACCAACGTGTAGTTAATTGATATTGATTGCAACGTTTAGCAGCTTTTATTACACTCCTAGAAAATAATCCTCCTCTCGTGTTAATAAATAATATTATGCCGCCATTATATGAAATTTCTTTCATCACCTTACATGCTCTACGTAAATAGATTAACGTATAATCTAAATTTATTATATTTATACCATATCTTATACCAAATATAAATGGTGATGTTTTTGGATTCCAAAGCGACGTTGAATGTCCTAAATGTAAATTTGCTGACAACAAAGAAGACATTGTTAAATCATATGGCGAAGGCGGAGATTCTAGGTTTTTTGTTGCTGAAATGGAAACCTTTTTAAAAGATCCTGTTTGTTTTACAAATTCCGGAACTAAAAGAAATTTTATAAAAAAATATTATTTATTTTTTCCTTTTTTTTAAAAAAAAATATTTTTTTTTTACCATCGTCTTTTAATTTCAATTTTGCCGAATCAATAGGTTTATCGTCAAAAGCTTTAAAAAATCTATAAGATAATTCCTGTTTAAAATCATCATAATCATGATCTATAACTTGCTGTTTAGAACTGTTTAAAGGCAAATCCTTATATAAGGATGATATGAATCTCGTTGATACTAGTAATTAAATAGTTAGAATAAAAATTGTTAAAACTTTTTTTTTAAAAAAAAAACCAAATGCTTACTAGTAAATTTTCCATATCGATTGTGGTATAATACTCGAGATAAAAAAGCGCGCGAATTATTTCGAAGAGATTGAATTGAATACATTAAAGATAATTTATCTAAAAAAACATTTTTATAATTTGTCACATTATCATGATCTAGTTTGTAATACGATCAATACGATCTACGAACAAAAAAAAACGAGATTAAATCGCCCCCACCTGGATTCGAACCAGGATCCTTTCGGTTAACAGCCGAACGCGCTAGCCGGTTGCGCCATGGAGGCTATGCTGTATGATGCAAAGTCATTTGTTTATATTTAAATCATTTGTGAGAATTAGGACAGCGTTCAGTGTCACGATGTATCATTCACACATGATCTGCATTTATAAAGTCGCGTGAAGTTGAATGATCTTCTAAATGACAAATTTTGACTAATATAATTGAACTTCTTTGCAATAAATATCTACTGTAAAACGTCGCGTAAAAGGAACAAAATGACAAGAACAAAGAGGATGAACTCATTCCCTTCTCCTGATACACCAAAGCGCAATAAGAATTCTATTAGAAAAAGCGTTGAAGACGAGTATGTTGAAGACGAGTATGTTGAAAACGAATATACTAAAGACATTGAAACTGACTTTGTTGTTACACCAAAGCGTAATAAGAGGATTAATTATAATGAAGGCGCGGGGACCATAACACCTAAGCGTAATAAAAGAGTAGACCCAATGGTTACTGTACTTATTACGCAAAAAAAAAATGAACCCCTGAAATCAAAAACTCACGATATTGTTTCAAATTACGCGAATGAGGCAGTTACACCCGGAGAACAGCCCGTTGTTACTGTACTCATAACGCCCAAAAAAAATAAAACGCAAATTCCTAAACAAATCGTTACTCCCCCCTCTATAAGGTAAGTGTTTTTTGATGTTCTTTCAATTGTTGTAAAATAATTAACTTCTCTTTGAAAATATATAACAGAAGAAGGACAGGTCGTTTATCTTCAAGTATTGATAATCGTATTCAACCTATCAATAAACCTTTAACAAGATACGATATTGCAAGAGAACAATTACGACTTGAAGAGGTTCCCATAAATTTTCCTTGTCGTGAAAAAGAATACGATCAAGTCTACAATAAAATTAAGGAATCAATTGATGAACTTAATGGTCGTCGTATTTTCATATCTGGTCAACCTGGTACTGGTAAAACTGCTACCGTACGACAAGTTATTAAAAATTTGAAAGAAAAAGTTTGCAAGAAAGTTAGTAGATTCGATAATTCGCTAATTATTTCAAATCTAAAAAAAAGTTAATCATTTTAAATATAATATAGGAATTAAATCCATTTGAATTCGTTGAAATTAATGGAATGGAAATTAAGCCTCCTGAAAAGGCATATAGTGTCCTTTGGGAAGGTTTAACCGGTGATCGTATTTCTCATAAAGATGCTGAATTTTTATTGAATGAAATGTTTAATGATGAAGATAATGAAGTTTCAATGTTTGTGATTTTTTTTTCTTTTTTCTCCCTTTTTCAATATTATTAATTAAGAAGATTTTTATTTGATTCTTTATAGTGTCTTCATGATAGATGAATTTGATTCGCTTATCTCAAAAAGGAGTATTGTATTTAATAATCTTTTGGAATGGACTGCTATACCAAATTCTGGATTTGTTTTGATTGCCCTAACTAATGAAATCAGATTACCGCACTCATTATTAACCAAAAGTCAAGAAAGCAAATTTAGTTAGTATCAATATTTATAATACGTGAAGAGTGTGCGGGTTTAACTGGTTTAACTTTTTTTATCGAATTTATTTTAGGATTGGAAAGATTAGATTTCGAGCCATATACGCATGAACAGCTTTTCACTATTTTGAAATCTCGACTTGAAAATATAGAGATATTTGCAAAGGAAGCTGTCGAATTTACTGCAAGAAAAGTGAGCGCTATTTCACAAGATGCAAGAAACGCTCTATGTATTTGCAGGTAATAATTTAAATAATTGTTTGAATGTTAAAATGGCGCGATCATTAAGAATAAGATTATTGAGAATAATCAATCATTGAAAATTTTTAGATATGCCGTGGGTGTTCTTGAGGCACAAGTGAAAAATAAATTTGTATCGGAAAATAGTTATGTAACTATACCAATGGTTCTAGAAGCTATAAAGAAAACTAATACTCCTTGGAAGAGATATATTAGTACAAGTTCTCTACGAGTAAAAGTATTCCTTTGTTCCTTATTATTATTATTGAAAGAAAGCAGAAAAAGTGGTAAAGATGAAATTGAATTTAAATCTGTAAGTTATGATATTTAATATATATTTAGATTCCCCGGATTCTTTACTAATAATTATATATTTATTTATATAATGTAATAGGTTATAAGAAAATATAACAAAATATGTGAATTTAAAGGTTTACCATGTCCTCCACTTGCCGAATTAACGAATATTGCCTATGATCTTTTATCATCTTCAATGTTGATAATGGATCCCAGTAAAGATGTTGATTCTTTAATTAAATTTAATGGAATCGAAAATGATGTTAATTCAGTATTGTCTAGTGAACTATTTTTTAAAGATTTAGTTGGGTGATAAGAATATAAGCTAATCAAAAAACATTTTAATTAAAGACTTTTAATTTGTTAAAAAAAACAAAATATATCATTAATTTAATCTTTGAATATGAATTTAATAATTTAGATTGGATCTTGGGTATAATTAGTGCACTTTATATCAAACACGATAATAAACAGTCTGTATAACCGTTTCAATTGATTGAGCTTGCTAAATATTACGTTATTTAATTTTTTTCTTTGACGTTAGACGATACAAAAGATAACATAATATTCATAATAATGATTAGGTTGAGTTTGTTGAAAATCATAAAATAAAAGGAGTTATTGGATATAATTATCGTAATAATGATTTTTATGATTTTTGGAATTATGAGCAAGACGTATTATAATAGGAATTGTTTGGAGGAAATAACAACATATTTGTGTGCAAGATCAATGTTCGTCTTGACGATTATGGCTGAGAAAGATTATGAATTTCAGATTTAAACAGACTATAATTTAAAGCAACATTAAAGTATTATTATCCCAAAAATTTATACTAATTCTGGCCAAACTCATAGTGCCAGCGAAATTTAATGAAATTCAATCCGGATGAAAATCCGGATAAAACCGCTACGGATCGAAGCACTAATCTTCGTCTCATTTAATATGAATTATTGAAAATGTAGACTGCTGTAACAGTGATCAGCCAAGAAAAAATAAATTATTATTTTTTTTGTTAATCCAGTAGACAAAAGATCATATCGCATTAAACTGTAATCAAGCCCTGAAAAGTCAAAAGAGATGAATTAGCTGAAGCAGTTCGTGCTTTCTTCTTATTGGTGAATAGATAATTCGTGTAGTCGTTTTTGATGGGTCTTACTCATTTATTACCTCATTTATTACATGTCATTAATATAAGGATATATAATAATACACACCACTACCATAATTTACCAGATTTCATAACATTACTTATTGATTTTCAAGCTGCAAAGAGGTTCACGAATTTTTAATAAAACTTAGCCGAAATTTTTTATTTTTCGTATATTGAAAAGAAAGAAAATTTTTAGAATATTAAAGGCTGTAATAAATCAGCTTTCAAATAAAAAAAATTGTCTGAATTCAATTAAATTTTTTTTTATTTGAAAGATATTGATATGTAGTTCTTATTTATTAAGAAAAAGGAGAATAGTTTTAAAACATTAAGAAATTATCTCATTGCTAATTATAATAAATTCTTTCTTTGCAATAAGAAAATTTTTATTTTTAAAGTTTTTTTATTTTTTATTAATAAAACTATGTAACCAGCTTAAAAATCAATAAGTGAATTTTATGGAATCCAGTAATTTATGATAAGGGTGTGTAGAATAATAAAATTCTACTTTTATTTATAAAACTAACTATATGCAAAAATCTGCTTTATATTTATTTATGTTAAAATTATACTTATAATTTATATATTGAAAAATATACTAGTAAAATTGAAGTATTCCATTATTTCAGTTGTTTAATTAATTAAAATTTAATTAAAGTATTGATAATACTTGTAATTACTATTTTATCCTATTAGATTTCAAATAAAACTAAGAATTAAAACTTAAAAAAATATATATAGGTTAAATTATGTTATTTAAACAATTTACCTATAATATTTTTATTTTTTTTACAACCTGAAGTTAGCCTATAATTTTAACTAGCATTACTATTAATGCAGGTACAAATAATACCTTATAATTAATTATTATTGCTTGGTATCAGGCTTTTTCCTTATCATCTTTTAGATTATTTGTAGTCTTATCTTTTGATTCTGAATAATTAATTTCATCTTTTAAAGATCTCTTTAAATCATCATTTATAGATAAATCTTTTTCCATTCCCTTAATCAATATATCAGCAATATTGCCAACACTTGGGGCCTTTTTATCACCATCATCATTAAATCTTTTTTCAACATTGATATACATTCTAGATTCTTCTTTAGTTTTAGCATTTTTAAACATTCTTTTACCTACACCTAACTCCTCCCATTCCCAACGAGTCACTCTCATACCAATGCCAGGAGGACAATTTTTAGACAAATATAATAATAATTTATCAATAACATTTTTATTTGCATCCTTAAATGTTAATAACCTTTTATGAGTTTTTCTTTCAAAATTTTCTTGGGATTTCTTATGCACAAAAGGTCCTCTTGGAACTGTCCATCGTGTTGTTTGTGTTGGCAGATAAACTACACCTGAACATGGGATTGAAAGGTGAAATGCCGTACGACGTGCAAAATCAACAAAAAAATCCATTGGTCCCAGTATATATGAACGAAAATGTATATTACATACGGTTATATTATGTTTTTGAGGAATTCTTTGTGGTTCTAATTTTATTTATATATAAAAAAAGTGAGGAATATTAATTATGAGATGATTATTGAAAGGTTTATTTACCTAAATAAATTGGATCGATTTGTTCTTCTTGGCTATCCGTTTCTCCATCAATTTTTCCAAAGGGTTTTTGAATTCGATCAATTGCTTGCAATTGATTTTCTCCAAATAAATCTCTAGAACCCACTCTATAAACAATTTAGAAAAAAAATAATTTTATATTGCAAAATCAGAATGTTAGCGAATGTAGCGAATGTTCAAAAATCCGAAATATGTAATTACACATATCCACGTAAGCTTGATATTCTTGAAAATACCAAAATTCGAGTTTTACTCTATTCATATAAATAATAAATGCTTAATTAATTGAAGAATTTACTAAAAATATTTTCGTTTAAAGCTTACATTTGAAATAACTGATTTAAAGAAGCTCGACATTACAGGTTATAGATGAAATTGATGAAATTTCTATCTATTGCAGATCTATACAACCTATCGATCGACATTTTAATGACAAAATTATTGAACCCGATTTTGCTACTACCAAAAATTGTCAAATTTTAAGAAAAAATGTCGAACGCTATAAACGGATTGGTTGAAGAATTTCCTGGAAGAACGCGTCAAATTGAGGCCTTAATAAATTGGTTTGGTGAAGTAAGTACGTAACAATAAAAACAAATAAAATAAAATAAAATAAAATAATGTATCTAAAGTTTATTTGTTATCAGCCTACAGAAAAAGCGCCAAATTCAATTTTTATACACGGAAATAGAGCGTTGGGAAAAACTGAAATTGTAAAGAAACTCTTCAAGATTTGGTTTCCTACATTCAATTATTCGATCCTAAATTGTAAAATATACTTTCAACTCGAAGATATATTTGAAGTTTCATTAAAACACTTGACTGGTAAAAACAATAAATGTAAAAATATTGATGAATTTGCCACGATGTTGCAAATAATTTGCGAAACAAATGAAGAAACGAGATATCTGGTAGGGACAGCAGTTAAAATATTCATTATTTAATTAATTATTTCTTTAATTTTCTTTTTTGATTTACAGATATTTGATAACGCGGAATTATTGTGGAATTTTTCTCAAACTTTAGTTCCTGCTCTCTTAAATCTCCCTCAATGGGTAAAATTATATATAATTTATTATGGTTATACTAATTTTATATTCTTTGCTTATTATGGATTCCTTCTTACTATTTAAGACTGGTACAAATCTTTGTGTAATCTTAATTACACAAGTTCCTTGGGAGAAATTTCGAAGATATCCAGGAATAACTGAGCCTATCCAATTATATTTTCCAGAATATTCAAAAAATATCCTTTCTTGTTCTGTTATTTCTCATACCGTTATTTTTTAATCATACAAATCCTTAATAGATTTAATAACGCGATATAATTCAGATTCTTGAGAAAACTTGTCCAAAAGATGAAGACATTGAATTTTATCGTTTGTTTGTAGATTATATATATAGTGTATTTTTTGACTCTTGTGATTTAATTGATTTATTCCGCGTTATACCAGATCTTTATATAAAATTTATTCAGCCTGTAAATGAGGAAAGAGGTAAACGGTATAGTTTATTCTTGATTATCGATTTCTATTCTTATTATATTATTACTAAATATAAATTTGACATGGATAGTATCAAGAAATGATTATTCGCTCTTATTCAATGAATTAAATCCGCACATAGAATTGGTATTAGATAAATTATACTCGCAGCATATAACACCATTAATAGGTAAGCGATTGAAAAAATTCGAATTATAATAAATCTACATTAATAACTTTTTACATTTTCTTTATATAAAAGAAAATCAATTGCCTATATGGTCGTTATACTTGTTAATTTCCGCATTTCTTGCATCTTATATTCCGCAAAACCTTGATAAACATCTTTTTTCAAAAGAACATGAAAAACAGAAACATTCCCGGAAAAGAAGAAAAAAAGAAATCAATGCATTAAAGGTTCATTTATTATATTTATTAATATATAAATTATATAGTTTGAAAAACAACTTTATTAAAACTTTTTTTATGTGAAAAAAAAGTTTAATGAACAATTTACAGGTCCCCAATCAAGTGAGATGGAGCGAATTTTTGCTATATTTCAAAGCATTTATCAGGATTCAATGATTCCCTATATATTACTTTTACAGCAGGTTCGGAAAATTAAATTTTAAACATTCATTTTTGTTTTAAAGAAATATTAATTATTGATTAAATTCTTTTTAATAGTCAGAAACATTTGTGACTTCTCATCTTTTCACTCGTACAGAACGTAATAATGTTCAATTATTTAGGTGTAATCTTAGTTTTGATTATATCAAACAAATTTCTAAAAATATTAATTTTGATATTTTTAGATATTTAGATGATTCTTTCACTTTGTAAAATAAATTTTAAAAAAAAGCAAGTATATATGTGCAAATAAATATATTTTAAATGACTTTATTAAAACACACCACTGGTATAGTTACTATAGTATGTATTTTCACAAAAACTATGGCCTAAATCAAAGAAGTTGTTCTAATTAAAATTGCTCAGCATCTTTAAAAATGGTCAGAAAAATGGTTTAGTTAGTATTATTCTTATTTTTTTATGCTGCAAAATAAAAAAATTTGAAAAACTTAGTAAAATATAAGCAAAGTATAGAACTCCGAACATTTCTCATTTTTAAACTCACAAATAATATATAATAAAATGTATTTTTTAAAATAATTCAGTTAATATTAATAGTATGAATGCAATTTTCCCACCATTAAATATGATATAAAATTCAACCAGTAGCCCTTTTAAAATCAGAAGTGTGTAGAATAACAAATTTTGAATATATTCCTATAATATGTAATTAATATATAAACCTACTTTTGAATTTAATTATTTAATAATATTAACTAACAATAGGCAAATTAATATACACTACTTGGATAAAAGTAGCAGAAATTCATATTTTATTAATTACTTGAAAACGTACATAATAATAATACCTGAAATTTTAATATATGATAATATAGACAATACAGAATAATTTAATATTTCAAAAAAACTCAAAAAAAAATTTTAATAATTATCTATATATTATATAATAAAAATAAAAAATAAACAAATAGTCTGATATTGGCAGTTTATTCAGAATTATACATAATAATAATACCAGAAATTTTAATATGTGACAGTATAGAATTTTAATTAATATATCTACAAATTTCTTTTTTCTAGTTTTTGTTATTATTTTAAAAATAACAGTACTGTTATTCTCACAATTTTTTAAAATTTTATATAATAAAATGCTTTAATTTTTATATTGTTTAAAAGCTACAGTTTTGAAGAATAAATATATAATTTTTATATTTTTACTTTTTTAAAAATTAGTATATATCTAAAAAATTAAATATTATTAAAAAAATTATATTTTAATTTAATAATCATTAGAAATTTTTTAATTAATATAGCTGCATAAAAGTTAAAAACATGAAAATTTGACTTTATATTCTTTAAAATTTATATTATCTCATATTAAAATTTTAAGAATTATTATTATATATAATCTCAAATAATACTACTATTTTTATATAAGTAATGTAGCAATTACTAAATTTTTTTTTTAANGAACTAATTTTTTACAGTTTAGAAGATTTTATTTTTTAAGAATAAGTCTTATATAATAGATAAAATATAAATTTTACTACTTTTGTTTAAGTAGTATATATGTTTTAAAAATCCTATTTACTTATAAAATAGGTTACTTTCAAGCCTAAAGTAAAAATCATATATAAAGATTTTACTATAAAAGCCATAAAAGGAAATTTTATATTATATTATTATGATTTTTTTTTCTTTTTAGCTAATTAAACAATAGAATTTAAGAAAAAAATAAGGTAAGAACTAATTTTTTACAGTTTAGAAGATTTTATTTTTTAAGAATAAGTCTTATATAATAGATAAAATATAAATTTTACTACTTTTGTTTAAGTAGTATATATGTTTTAAAAATCCTATTTACTTATAAAATAGGTTACTTTCAAGCCTAAAGTAAAAATCATATATAAAGATTTTACTATAAAAGCCATAAAAGGAAATTTTATATTATATTATTATGATTTTTTTTTCTTTTTAGCTAATTAAACAATAGAATTTAAGAAAAAAATAAGGTAAGAACTAATTTTTTACAGTTTAGAAGATTTTATTTTTTAAGAATAAGTCTTATATAATAGATAAAATATAAATTTTACTACTTTTGTTTAAGTAGTATATATGTTTTAAAAATCCTATTTACTTATAAAATAGGTTACTTTCAAGCCTAAAGTAAAAATCATATATAAAGATTTTACTATAAAAGCCATAAAAGGAAATTTTATATTATATTATTATGATTTTTTTTTCTTTTTAGCTAATTAAACAATAGAATTTAAGAAAAAAATAAGGTAAGAACTAATTTTTTACAGTTTAGAAGATTTTATTTTTTAAGAATAAGTCTTATATAATAGATAAAATATAAATTTTACTACTTTTGTTTAAGTAGTATATATGTTTTAAAAATCCTATTTACTTATAAAATAGGTTACTTTCAAGCCTAAAGTAAAAATCATATATAAAGATTTTACTATAAAAGCCATAAAAGGAAATTTTATATTATATTATTATGATTTTTTTTTCTTTTTAGCTAATTAAACAATAGAATTTAAGAAAAAAATAAGGTAAGAACTAATTTTTTACAGTTTAGAAGATTTTATTTTTTAAGAATAAGTCTTATATAATATAATGTAATTATAACTATATTTAAAATCAGATATTTATATCAATAATTGTAAAATTACTTATATTAAAAAGATTAAGTAAATATATTACTAATAGTTAATAAAAATGATTTTAATGCTCACCAAAGGTGAAATTTACCCTTTGATGAATTTCACTAAAGGTGAATTTTACCAGTAAAATTGGTAAAGTTCATTATATCATGTAACACCAAATTTTTTTCATTTAAATATAAAAAAAATGCTAATTAATAATGAATTTTTTATCATATAATGTAATAATAAACCATTACACTATAAAAAAAATTTTATCAAATTGTCTTATTTATAAATGCAATATTTTATCTATAAAAACAATGTTAAATTTATAATGTTCAACTAAATTTTAGAATCATATACATTTATTTATTACTTCAAGTTGATTTTATAATAGAACTAGTAATAAATAACAAAAAAAACAAGAAAAATAAAGTAGAAAAGAAGATATATAATTCATTTGCAACCTGTGAAAAGAACATAAAATTTGCATAATAGTGAAAAAAATTATAGGTAATAAGATATAATGGAAATAATAAAATAAAACAATAAGTAATAAGAAAACCAATGAGAAATAATAGTATTAATAAGGAATAAAAGAAAATAAAAATAAAAAAAAGGAAAAGAAAGTAAAGAAAATGGAATTGAATAAAATGAATGAAATAAATAAAAAGAAATAAAAAGAAATACAAAAATGAAAGGAATAAAAATGAAAATAAAATAGGATGAAAAAAACAGATATAATGAAAAAACAGAATAAAAAAATGTATTGAAAGAAATGGAGTTGAAAGAAATGGAATAAAAAGAACAAAATAAAAAGATCAAAATAAAAGAAATGAAATAAAGGAAATGGAATGAATAGTAAAAAAATGAAAGAAATGAGATAAAGAAAATGAAGTAAAAAGAAACAGTAAAAAAAATAAAAGAAATGTAGTAAAGATGAAATGATAAACACTTAAAGAAAAGAATAAAGTAAAGTAAATAAAACAAAAAAAATATAAAATGGCAAATACAAAGAAAAGAATAAAAGAAAGTTAGTAAAAACCACAGGTTAAAGAGTAAAAAATCAGGCATCAATCATCACTAATCGGTCACCAATCAGGTAGCTGATTGGTAACCAATTGGTGACTAATTGGCATTTTCACCAAATACTATTACCAATCAGGCAGTTTGCTAACTTTTGATCCAGTAATCAGAAAAAGATAAAATATAGCTCATTGGAATCATCTTAACAAGACGAATCTAATAGTAGTAAAATTGCATTTCTAGGATTAATAGTTAATAAAAAATTCAATAAAATATAAATGATATATTTTTATTTTTATATTTTACTTAATTTCTCATCAAGTATTAATCCTAGAAATGCAATTTTACTACCATTAGATTCGTCTTGTTGAGACAATTCCAATGAGTTATATTTCATCTTTTTCTGATCACTGGATCAAAAGTTAGCAAACTGCCTGATTGGTGACTGATTGATGCCTGATTTTTCACTTTTCGACCTGTGTAACAAAATATAAAGAACAAAAGAAACTAAAAGTGGAAAATAAAAAAAATACCTTTAATCATAAAACTGAACTAAATCAATTTCCAGAGTCATTCAGCCATTCCTAAAAAAAAGAGAAAACATTAGTAATATTTTCAAGTCAAAAAGAATAAAAAGCAAATAAAAAAAAAAATGAAATACTACTTATCTTACAATATTAAAATTTAAGCAAATGTTCAAAGCAGCAAGCTACTCCTAAAAAAAAATAAAAATTGCATTATGCATTTAATATCACAATTGTTATATATACATGGTAAATTTCACTATTTTAAAATATTTAAATATTATGGCCACCTGGTAAATTTAATTACCAGTTATTGTTAAATTAAAAATAATTATTAAAAAATATTTTTTTTTGTTTTTTTATAAATAATAGATGGTTTTTATCAATAAGAGATAACTAGAAAAAATGATTATGATTAATTTCAATCTCTATTTTTTTTATTAATTAAAATATATTATCTTATAATATTCAATTATTTCAATAAGTATAAAAAACAAGTAGATATTATAAATAAAAATCAAAATTATAATATATTATTTTACTTAATAATAAATTATATTAGATTATATCTATATATTTATTTTTGACTTATTAATAAAAGAATTGTATATAAATATTTCTTTTAAATTATATCTTATTCAATTAATATATAATTTTATATATCTTTTATTCTTTATATTAAATTGAAAAAAATAAATTATAATTTGCAATTATTATTTTAATATTTTGCAAATTTCAGGTAAATTTTTAATATTATATAATTTTAAAGTTTTAAATAAAATTATGGATTTAATATAAATATATAAAAAGGCACTTGATTTAGCTATTTGAATTAATAAAGTTAATAAATTTGCCAATTAAATAGAATATTTTATTGAAATACAAAATATTTAGTTCTTATAAAGAAGTGATTATATAAAAATTTTTAAAAATATATTATGCAATTTTATAATTTTAGCCAAAAACTATAATATATAGTCAAAATTATAATTGCAATAAGTTTTTATTAATATAAATAATATGTACACCTCCTATATAGTTATCCCTATATAATCATATCATATAAAATTCCTCTTTATAAGCATACTATATTTTGGCCTAATGTACTAATAAATATATTAGAAAAACCTTCTTTATAGTCACAACATATGACTTTTTTTATAATCATATCCTTTTTTTGGCTTCAAGAGATATGATTATATAGGGGGCCAACTGTATATTAAAAATTTTATGTAATAATGATTGTAGCTAATATGAGATAATCTAATAATACTAAAATCTATTCTACAAAAATGGATACTTATAAAGAAGTGTAATTATATAAAAATCAGATTGTATCTAATTAGCAGAAAAATGGAATTTCTATTGACAATCTAATAGATATAAGTTATATAATAAGTCTCAAAAAAAAGTAAGGTTTATTCAATTAGTTATAATAACCAGTATTTCTTTACAATATATAATAAAACTTTTTTCATATTATAATATTCAATTTCTTATATTTAAAGTATTTAAAATAAATATTACAAGAACTTGTATAAAATACTTTAAAAACTTTAAAATAAAGTATATTAACTAAATGGTATAAATTAATTGTATTATTTTTTTTTTATTTTACTTTTTTAACTTTTAACTGATTTAAAACTTCAACTATTTATAAATAAGTAAAAATCTTTTATACTTATTGCGTACATAAGTCAAAATAATTTTAATCTGAACTTAAATGGTTAAAATTATTTTACAGTCACATAATTTACATAATAAAAAAATAGAAAATATTAATATAAATTTTTAATGTCATGTAAAATTATATGACATGACAGGTTTTGTTATACAAAGCTATTAAGCTATTACTTTATAAACATTGAAGATAGGCTCTCTTTAAAAAAAAAGTTGAAAATAGAAAAAAGTGGGTTTCGGCAGGATATATCAAAATTGGTTATATATTTGAATTTGAATTGCGGCTGTATTTAATTTTTCTTGCATAGAATACAGATATTAGAATGGAGGAATTTAGTAAAACATGCAATCATTGTGGAAGAACGAGATTGAATGTGAGCTTTGGATTAATATCGCAGATTTTAGTTGATTGTAGTTGATCGATTCAATATTACGAAGAGAATATGTTTTATGTTTTATTTTATAAATTACATTCTTCAGGGGATTATGTATTATTTACTCAGGGCACTTTGAAGTGCTTCGTAAACTTCTACTTCAATTCTAGCTTCTGCTTTCTCTTCTTCCGTAGAGGCTGTTGAAGCTATACGTTGTGCTTCTGCCAGATTGGTTCTAATGGCCTATTTGCGTTTGTTAACAAGTTTAATTAGAATTATTACTTAAAGTACTTAATCTTCCGTCTTTTAAATTCAAATTTACCTCAAGTGAAAAATCTTCCAAAGGAAAAGCTTCGATTGCATTGATATCAAGGGAAGAATTGGGATTAATCATAGCAAATCCTCCACTAGCTGGATGATTTATAATAGATTATTAAAAATGGTTGAACACTTTCTTAACAATTAACAATACGTAAATATACATATATACATACCAAAATATCTTTTTATCGTAGTAGGATTTTCTAATATCTCAACAATACCTGGTTTCAATTGTTCAATGGATGGAACATGATTGGCAAGAATACCCATATCTCCTGCGGTTGAAGCAATGTTTACTTGCTGAACTTCAGCATTTGCATATATTGTCTAAACGTTGAATTAAATAATTCAAATTAATATTATTGTCTAACAAAAGATTTTTCTAAAGAATTAAATCTAAATTAATACTTGATGAGGAAGCGCAAAACTTAAACGTAGCCTATCACTCAAACCAGCTGGTGCTTCATTAGCATAATAACGAACTAAAATAAAGAAGATATTTATTATATATTTCAACAATTTCAAAGTTAAGCATAAAAGAGAATAAAGTACCTGCCTGAAGTGCATGCTTTAATGCGAAAGGCAGCACTAGCCGTTCTGACCGTTCTAAATAAGAAATTCATTTTTCAGATTTTTCAGTAATGAAAAAAATATCTAGATCAAGTTCATACTAGAGAGAAATTGATTTGCGGGTTTGTGTAACATATAGAATTTAGAAATATGACTTTTATTGTCAAAAAAATAAAAAAAAATTTATAGCTTGTTAACAAATGTAGAGATTTAAACGACTTTTTTTGATTGATATTTCTTTCGAGTCAATAGCAATTGTCAAAAACAACTACCATTTAATTTTTGTTTAGAGTCCGCAGTAGAAAGACCAAATAATCACGTGATACATACGATCTTAAACAATATAATATATATATATTATAAAAAAAATTATTTTATTCTATTTACCCAAAAGTTTAAAAGAAGCGCCCACCGAAAAATAAAAAGCATAAATCGTACACCACTATATCATTCCAAAAATAAATAAAAACTAAAAAAATAAATAAAGGAAGATTTATCATTTATTAATGTTGTTTATCAGGGTAAGAAAAGTTTTATTGTTTTACTTTAACAGCATTTGCCAGCTGCTTGTTGTTTTTCATCAGGCATAGAAGTAACTTGAATAGTTTCACCAGCAGTTGGTCTAGTGACATCTCCACTGTTATTTTCTAGAGCCTTATTAGAAACAATACGATATATTTCTTTTTTTAAAAAAATAAAACAATCGCATTAGAATTTAAAAAAACAAACAAATGAATAAATAAATTAAAATAAATCAAGGTTAAACATACCAGTTAAAATATTTTGAAACGCGAGTTCTACATTGCTAGCATCCAACGCAGAAGTTTCAATGAATGATAAACTGTTTTCGGCTAAAATAATAATGAAATAATAATTATTAATATTGTAAAAAATACACCATATGCCTAGCCAATAAAAATACTTTACCAGCAAACTGCTTAGCTTCCTCGGTTGGTACAGCTCTCAAATGTCTTAAATCGCTCTTGTTACCGACAAGCATAATAACAATATTGCTGTCAGCGTGATCTCTTAATTCTTTTAACCAACGATTAACATTTTCATAAGTAACATGTTTAGCAATATCGTAGACGAGTAAAGCTCCAACTGCCCCACGATAATATCTTTTATTAAAGGATAAATGAGTATTTTTCCGAGTTGAATTGTATTGATAATATTAAACACTTACGCGCTCGTAATAGCCCGATAACGTTCTTGACCAGCTATAAGAAGAATACAAAAGAAAATTTAATGTAATTTACTATGCTTCTAATTTTGCTAATGTATAAGAAATATATTGATAAATTACCAGTATCCCAAATTTGAGCTTTAATAGTCTTGTTATCTACTTGGATACTTCTAGTGGCAAATTCGACACCAATAGTTGACTTTGACTCCAAATTAAACTCATTACGTGTGAAACGCGAAAGAAGATTGGATTTGCCAACTCCAGAATCTCCGATTAAAACAACTATTTTTTTTTAAAAAAAAAAAAATAAATAAAATTACCATCTGTACCTTCAAATTTATTATTTTTTTTTTATCATTACAATAATTTTAACCGGAACTACTTTAATGTTTATCACAGATGGTAAGATGGACTTCTTTTTTTTTTATTCTTTTAATTTTGTTAAAGTGGTACCATATTAAACTCGCTTGTCATTATACTTAAAATACTCAGCGCTTACCCTTAAAAAGGTAATCATACTCGTCGTCTTTGCTCATCTTTACTGGTTAAAACTTTGCAATTATATCCGAGAGCTAATAATTGTAAATGAAGTTAAGGTACTTCACAAAAGTTCAAATGTATATACCTTACAAGGCTGAGTTGTCAAAATTCTAAATCTTAATCGAATTTATATATCTTTACCTTGTTAAGATTAGCTCGTAGTACACATGTTTGGAATCACGACATCTGAACACAATTTGTTATAATATAATATAGCTATTGTTTATATATACAAGTTTTATTCTATACAAAATTATGTGACTGAATTTTATGTACAAATTTTAAATTATTGTAAGCATTATTTGGGAATTTTTATATTACTTTTAATGCAACTTGGTAATTCTTCATTAATTTGTTTGTGAATGTTTTCTTCTTCGGTAAGACGTTTGAATTGAGTTAGTAGTTTATGCGCAGCAGTAGGAATTTCTGTTCCCGATTCATTATAATTGGTTGCATTCCAATGAATTAAATCAACATCTGCTTTAATAGCCTAGATTTTATAAAGTTAAGTGAAAATTAATTAAAAATAATTTTTTTTTTTAAAAAAAAAAAAATAAGTAAAAAATACGTGAATTACCCTTAAAGAACGATACCAATCGTTCTGTAAACGAGCTTCGATCATTCGAAGGCACATCGGATATGGAATTTTTGGGAGATAATCAGGTACTTCAGTGAAGTTGACATGATTTACAAACCAATCAAAATCAACTTCAGCAATAAATATAGAAATAATTTTGCTCATGATCGCTTTCTCTGAAAAATTATAAAAAAATTTAAGAAATATGAAATGATAATACGCTTGTATTCCATATCGCAAATTTACCTCCTTCTCCGTATGTTTTGCTATCGATTAAGTCTTGTTCATTCTCGCGTTTCAATTCCCAGCTATGTAAAGTGTCTTGTGAATTTTCTGGATCCCTAAAACAATTCAAGTTAATCATACTCTATTGTTAATCAGCAAAGAAACAGTAGTATTATACACTTACCAATTAACTGTGTAAGTTGGCCACGGAGACCAGTCGTCACTTGATTTACTTTTGTTGGACTGAACGATAGTTCCAGAATATGATGTATTGTCATATGTAGCAAATACTTTTTCTCCCACTTTTAGTCTCTTATTGAGGCCTGCCGCTACCCGATCGTAAAGAACAATAAAGTCACTCATATTAGTGTAATCGTAATAATAAATTGTAACTTTGGCAGTAGCCTTTCTATCAAACACGGGATCTAGAGGTAGAGGTTGTTTGTTGTTTTGAAGGTTTAGAGTTTTTGCAGTTATCTTCACAAAAGGTTTATTTCTATCTCCTCGAATCCATTCAATATCATCAATTAGACAAAATAAAACATTATCTTTAGCTTTTTTATCGGTTGTTAATTTATTCCAAGCATGATCCTTATGATGTACTGGGTCTTCAGGTCCCAAAATGTCAAGCAATACAGAATTATCATTATCATGATAGCATCTTCTAAGCATTTCTTTATGCCCGTTTAAGAAATAAACGATAACATCACCAATTTGAGGGTGGTATGGGGAAGCTTGCGGTTTAATCATCCTAATCCACTCTGGACGAGTGTCATCTTCTGGTTCTGAAGTATCCATAGAACTCGCGAGTGTTGCCCTATTCACATGTCCTGAATCATCTTGTTCAAGATTCTCATCATAATCAATTTCCATATAACTTTCATTGTCCCTTCCATGATTACCATGCGTGTCATCATAGGGAGATACTTCATGTTGTGAGGAAGATTCGACTATATAGGGAGAATCGTTGTTATTTTGCGATTCTTCTTGTTCTGAATCCTCTTGATATTCGGAGCCGCTTGGTGACTTCGGTGTTCTAGCGCGTCTACTACCAGATTCAAGTGAAGCGTGATCGTTTTCGACATAACTTTCATCTTCCGAAGTAGTGGTTTCGCTTTCTCCATAGTTTATGCGTCTCTTAACGCGTCTTAAAGGACGTTTAGTACTCGGACCCGCCTTATTATAATCATTGTTATTTCGTTCAATATATTCATCTTCTTCTTCAGACAAATCGGCACGAGGACGTTTTATTCTCCTATTTTTTGTATTTACAGCCGTGGCAGGACGGCTATATTTTTGTGCCTTTTCAGCTTTCTTTTGTCGTCTTGTCTTGACTCCATAGTCACTGTCCAGATCAGGGGAATTTACGACAGATGCTGGAATAGCATCAATCTCCATATAGTCACTATCATCAGTGCTATCAGGAGTTCCTTCACGATCAGAAAGACCGGGAACATAATCTTCATCGTCACTATCGTCCGGTAATGTGAAACTTGTTTCGTCAAGGTTAATGGAATCAATGTACTCATACTCTTCTTCAATAACGATCTTCCTCCTTCGCTTGGTTACATCCTTCTTATCCATAATATGTTTGACAAGATTTCCATACTTAATTTCTTCGACCTCTTCAACAAGAGTATCTCTCTTATAATTATCTTCCTGCCATTCTTGTATTCTGGAGACACCAGTACTAATTGCTTTGACTAATATAATAAGAATATCATTAAGTTAGTGCAATCATGATCATTACGAGATAAATCGAATATATTATATACATACGTTTATTCTGAGTGGTTTGCTTGAGATATGGAACACCACCCCAATTTACTACTTCACGAGGAGCATTTGGATCCTGCGGGAACCCTGAGTTAACATTAATTAGAACTCCTCTTTCGTCATCAAAGAAATACTCCTCATAATCATCATAGTCACTTCTGAATTTTTGCCCATTTTTGGCTCGTTCATGATATTTTTCGTACGATACAGTTTGGTCGACACCAATTAGATGGCATTTACCAGCATTGTCAGTAACCGCAAACATGGAACCTAAATAGTAAAAAAGAATTATAAATTCAAATTATCGGAGATATGTAGTTACTATATTTCTCTAGTACTTACCATCGTCTCTAAATTTACCGTCATGAAACCTGAGTTCTTCAGAATTGCCATCGATGAAGTTTAGACTAGTGCGATCCCATGCTAAATAAGTTAAGAAAAAGATGTTAATAAAAAAAGGACAATAATAAGTATCGATCTAAGAATCTATACTGACTTTTAACATTCCTGCCGTCTTGTATATCCCACATCGAAATCTTGCCATCGTATCCTGCGGACATAATGGTACGCCAATCATGAGGATGTATATCCAATACATAAAGATCGTTCGAGTGAGCATGGATTTCGATCTTGAGTTCACCGTTTTGAGAATTGTATACTCTGATTTTTCCTTTATTGTCACCAAGTATAACAAGCGAATCATCGACACTCCAGCGCATTGCGGTAACTCTGTGATCAGAATCTGGTGCGTCATCGGTGACGGACAACGTAATAGACGTCCATTGCTGTTTGAAATAATCATATCGCCAAATACGAGCAGTGCCATCATCGGATCCTGACAGGAGACGACTGTCCCCGTGAGCAAATTCAAGACTGTTCACAGTCCTGATGTGGCCATCAAGATCTGCTATATGAACATGGCCAAATAATTTGGATACGTCATTTTTCTTATTGTCTTTTTTATCTTTAGATCCTACGTTGGGATTCGGAATAACAGGATTTGTTGGACTCGATCTCTCCTGTTCCCTTGATTCTGATACCGGATGTGATTTCACCTGGCTCTGTTCTACTTCTACCTGTTGAATCCTAGCATTGATAGGCTGATGATGCTGATAATAAACATGGGAACGGTTTTGAGACGACGGTACGTTGCTTTGTTGACCGGTAAATGGAGGTGACGTTGAGTTGAAACTGAAATTACTACCAACACTATATGTATCTGTATCATCGCTACCCGGTGAATCAACGTCTGCGGTATCAACAAGTAATGATGAAGGTGGCTCATTGTGTCTTAATGTTGAAGGTGGCTCACAGAGTATTAATGATGAAGGTAGCTCACTAGGTCTTGTCGGCAAGGCCGAAGACTCTGGTGACCCAAAAATATTTATAGGAGATACAATAATATTTGATGAGGGTTCAATATATCTTGAAGAATCAGGAAGTGAAGAATCACCTCCATTATGTGGTGGTTCCGAACAAACCGAAATTCGACGAACTGGAATAGATTCTTTGTCCTTCTCTTCCTTTCCTTTACGTTTTTCTTCGTGGGCAACGAAAGGGCGAGGCATTACAACGTCCAAGATATCGATTTCTTCTTCTTCTTCTTCCAATTTTCCTTTTTCTCCATTTTCTCCCATAACAGTTTCATCACTTTCTCCCTTCCCCTCATCTTCTGTTACTTTTGAGTCTTCTAAGACGATTGTTGAAAAAACCCGGACCAATCCGTCAGTTCCCGATACGGCAAAAAGAGAACCGGTGTGATTGAATGCAGAACACTTCATTCGTACTCTGCCGACAGCGTTGACAGGTTTGATCTTACTTATTTCACCAAAAGAGGTAACTCCTTGTACGCGTTCGTATTTCGCGATCCATGTGTGCCAATTGTCGGATGTGGAGAGAATATACCTGTTCTCGGCCAATGGACTTGGGGAGAACGCGATGGATGTTACCGTATCATCCTTATTAATTAAAAAGCATGAACTTATGAGGTAAAATAGACAATAATAAGTAAAATAATAAAATGAAGTAACTAATTACCATTCTCAAACATTTTATGACTTGATAATTCTCCAGATCCCAAACTAAAACTGTAGCGTCCTCCGATGCCGTTGCTAAAAGGTTACCATCTTTGCTGATGGCCATATCCGAAATTACCGACCTATGTCCCTGGAGAGATCTCAATAATACGCCAGTACTTGAACACCATACCTTTGCGAGTCGATCATCACTCCCCTATAGATTTACGATATAAAAATAAAAAAGGTAAATAATAATCAATATAGTAACGATTTGATTATTAATGAAATATGTTGAACAATACCGTGATGATCCGCTTTCCTCCTCTGTCAAACAGTATGCAGTATGTAGTGGTATTGTGACCATCCAACGTGGTTAACTATAGAAAAAAGATCAATTTTCAAGAAATGAAACCGCAAAAACTTAACTTAATTTAATAAACGTACATGTTTATAGTCATTATATATCGACCTTATTGGTTGTGTGCTCTTGATTCTACCTCCACCGAGTTCACGGGATATAACAGCGGCGGCTATTAATATTAAAAAAAAACATAAAGACGACCACAAAAAANTCGGAATTTTTGTTAACAAAGAAAAAAAGAAAAAAAGAAAAAAAATAAAAGAAAAGAAAAAGGAAAATTGTAAGGTAACAAAGCAACAAAAAAAAAAAGAAAGAAAGAAAGAAAGAAAGAAAAAAACTAACCCGGATTTTGGTCAACAAGACCAGCTAGTAACCTTGATGGAGCATGTTGTGCCAAGCCCAGCTTCGCTCGTTGGGCATCGATTTCCGGAAATTTGGCCATTTCGGCTTGGTATAAATTTTCGCTCAATTTACCAACACTTAATGGCCGGCATGGCAAACGTACCTATAAGAATCACATGATAAATCATGTGAGGTAAAGTCACGTGAGATGAAATATTATCATAATCAGAAGAGAATTTTTTTTTTTTTTGTCGGAAAAAAATACATTTTTCTTTAACACGTGACATATAAAAGATGTAAAAAAAGAAACATGAAAATATAAAAGAATAATAATACGAAAAACTCACCAGCTCTTCGTAGGTTTGCAGGTGTATATTCCCTTCAAAATCTGTTCGAAGGGGGAGCAATTCGGGGTGTTCCGTTAGGTCTTGTACCAAAGACTGATGAGCACCCCGCGTTTGCGGGAACCTTTGGAGAAACCGCGCAACTTGAAACATAACCTCTGTGGGACGATTAGAAAAGAAAAAGTAAAAAAAAAATATGTTAATACGTGCAAGATGAGAAAATATTTAAAATAAATTAAAAATAATAATATTTGTCGCGCTATAAAGGAGTAAAAAGATAGTAAAAATAAGAAGTAAAACGCTTTGAAAGCGTTATGAATCATTGAAAAAACATCTAAATAAACGAAAGTGAATCCAAGTTTTAAAATAATTCCAAAAGTGCACGTAAGCAATATAATATTTTTAAGCAATATAAACTATAAAGAACGCAAAAAAAGCTTTTTTTTTTGCTTTTGTGTAAGAGATTTAAACCTTTTTGTTGATTTTCTCTCATTTTGGCAAGTCCTTTGCTTGAAATTGTTTTTTCAAACGGTTTTGAAATAACGTAATATACATACCCCGTTCGAGGTTTGTTAAGTCACTTGTAACGTTAAGATTCTGTTGGTTACTCATTTTTTGCAGATTCTTCAAAGGTGGGTTTTAAAAATTACTGATAACAGTAATTAATGGCGTCTAAAAATCTAAGAGAGTTTTTTTTGAAATTATTTTTTTTTTTTTTTGAAAAACTGCCTAAATTAAATATATCAACTTTTTGACCGGGTATTTTTCGGAAATTTAACTTAATTGTTTATCTGATCATACGATCAATTTTAGTAATACAATGTTACTCTACGGTAAGTTAAATTTACGTAAGCTATATTTTTCGTAGATTATTTTTTGATTTACCGTACTTTGTAAAACTTTGAAGAGTCAATAACGCAAGCTATTAGATATGACGACAATGAAATAATGGTCACACTAATCGGTACTTCATTAAAATTTTGTTGAAACATTTTCTTGTTCGATAATCGAAAAAAAAATTTATACCAAGAAAATTTTGCATTCGTTCAAAATCATTAAAGCCGGTATTATAGCCGCAATATTTTTTTGGAGATTACTCCATTATTCGCGATTTTTTTAACTAAATCCGTTAAACAATTACACTTTAAGCTATATCACGTGGAACATTCTTTCACCAATCATCTTTTCATATAATGACCTATACAAAATATACGATTTATTATTATTATTATTGCGACTCAAGTTGTAAGAAGTTATATAATTTTCCTTGTGCCAGTAATTAAATTATTTTCGAAATTTTGAACACTCTCTGTTAAATAATATTTTGAATATCATTTAGGTAGTCGGTTCCAAGTAAATAATCAATAATAATGTAAATTATTGAGGCTTCTAACTTATATTCGGATTCTAAACAGGAAGATAAGATAGATAATATCCAAAATAAAGCTGCTTCCTGGTATAATGCATGTTGGCGCTTTAGTCGAATATTTTTAAAGTAATTTAGAATGTTTTTTCATGTCTCAATATGATAAAATACTCTTTCTATAGTCACACCATTAAAAAATTAAAGGTAGATCCTTCCTAACTATTATAGCTGAAATTATATGAAAAGCACGCTGGGTCTGGACATGGTAATTTGATATGATATCAATAATTTTTGTAGAAGTTAGAACGTAGATCTGTTATCGCGTGATATATAAAAATTTATGGAAATTAATACATTGTTAAATACTTGTTAAGTAACTTGAAAGGGATGAAGAAAGGAGGCTTTGGGGTTATTTTTTCAACAGTTGGTATTTATTTATATTACTATCTGGTAAATACATGTTCTTTTGTTCTCTTTCCCCCTTCTTTAATTCCAATTTGCCGATTTGGAAAAATTTAAAGATAAGAAACCCCAAGAAAAAAAAATGATTATCGTATTGCGAATGATAACCTTTTCATTATTGCTCACGTGAAAATTAAATAAATGAATAACGCCAAATTTGAAAAGCAAAAAGACTGTGGCTCATCTTTTATCGACTGTATTACCATATTTACTTTGGAAAATCTCGGGGTTATGTAGAAAACTTTAAAATTAACCTTTTTTTTCACATAAATAAAAATTAAAAAAAAAAAAATTTTTTTTTCTTTATATATTAAACCCCTATCGCCATACCAAAATTTCCTATCATTTGTCTTTCTTTTTTTGTCTTTCCTTTATTTGTCCACCTATTTATTTTCTTATTTATTCTTTACTTTTTAATTCCTACTTAAAATCAAAGCTACAAGGTTTTTTTTTTTTTTTCTGGAAAGGCCCTTGAAAAAAAGAAAATTAATTTCTTTTTTTTCTTATTATTTTATAAATAAAAAATAAAATTTGTTTATCAAAAAGTCGATATTTTGAGGTTTGAACATGTCCTTGATAAGACCTTTTTCATACTTAAGTATTCTATTTGTGTTAATTTTACTGAAGTCTGAGACAAGCTTCGCTCAAAGTAACTTTACAGGTATATACAAACGCGATGTTATACTTAAAAAGGACCTTTGATATTCAACTTGGAATTTAATACTTTCTTTTTCTCCTTTTTTCTCCTTCAATATAGAATTAATAGAGTGTTCTGCTTTTGCCACCTGTGGAGAATGTACTAGTCATTTAGCGTGTGGTTTCTGTGTTACTGTAAGTCCTCATTTTCTTTTCTTTTACTTCTTTTTTTTAAAAAACTTTATTTATATTCTATAATTTAGACGAATAAATGCGTACAAGGTGGTTGGAAGGGACCGTTTAAGGATCCAGAGATATGTACGATTGATAATTGGGAATATGAATATGCTCAATGTTTTGGTATGCAAGCATTTATTTAAAATAATTTGTTCACCCTGAATCAATCAATAACTTTCTTTCTTACATCAGATACAATTTTCGATTTTCAAAAGTTAATTTGAAAAAAGAATCAAAAAAAAAAAATATTTTCATTAATTACGCATAATTTTAACTCTAAATATATACTTTAATGCTATATAATAGCTGTCTCTTATACACATCTAGATGTGTATAAGAGACAGCTTTAATGCTATATAATAGTTTCCCATAAACAGGCTCTTATATCTTTTGCATCAGCACTTGTTGGAATATTATTTATTTCAATACTATTTTGTTTGTGTTGTTGTATTTGCCGATGTTGTAGAATAAGAAATCCTGATGACGAAAGAGCTCCTTTAGTACCAGGCGATACTATTGCAACACAACATTTCAGACGTGCTTCATTTTACAATTATAATCGAAATCGACCTTTTGAAAGAAGAGGTAGAACCTTGAGTAGCGGAACTGTTAATAGTGCAATGCAGTATGGCAGAAATTGGCGTAATGGCTCTGATGAATATATGTACGGATATGGAGCTCTTAATACACCTTCATTGTTGTGGGTAAATGAAAATCCGGGTGTTCCAACCGATTATGCCATGGGTTCTCATAATAATAGCCTCGGTAATGGCGAATGGAGAAAGTGGGAAAAGAAACGTGAAGAATTATTAGCCAAATATGCTAAAAATCCCAATGAATCATAAAAAAGAATGTTTGGGTAGAAGGTTAAAAATTTCCTCCTTCATACCTACCTTTTTATAACATTTTTCTTGTAAAAATTTTCATTTTTTTTTTTTTTTTTTTTTTTTTTTAATTTTTTTTTTTTTTTTTTTTTTTTTATTATTTAAATTCTTTATTTATTTTATATATATATATATATATTTGATATTTACATCTAAAATTTATAACAAAATTTAAGTAAACATTTCATGTTAATAATAACTTTATATAAAATTATTATTTGAACTTTTTTTGTATATTGTACTCTTTTGCGGCTTAAATTGATTTATTAAATCAATCATCTGTAATTATTTGTCTTCTATATTTATATTGAAGCTTTTTATTTGTCAAGAAAAAAAATCTTTTTTTTTTTTTTCGCTTTAAATTTTTCGTTTTTTATTTTTTTTTAAATAGGACAATCATTTTTTACCAATTTTTCAAAAAATATTATAAATTTCTATATATGAATAAATAATAATATTATTTGAGGAGTATAAGAAACGAGTTAAAGTTTGGCCTCTGGTTTACCGGCTTTAACCGGTCTACTCATTAAATTAGTCATTACAACAACATCAGCCGTGGTAGGTGTACCTACTATTTCAGCTAATCTTAATACACGTGAGCTTACAGTAGCGTTATCTCTGCGGTTTTTTCCTTCTCTACGAAATTTACCAATTCTTTCAACTAAATCCCATAATTTACCCTTTGGTTCTATCGCTCCTTCAGAATTCCTTGTTGGTATATAATCAGGAGATAATGCAATTGTTGTCATTACTTTTGTGTTGTGACTACGTTTTACCATTATAAGTCCTACTTCTTCTAATCTAATAAATGCATTTTTTAACGTTTCCTTATTTATAGCTTCAAAATATGATAAATCTCCCTGATAATATAAAGTTTTGCCAAATATTTGACATTTATTATGAAAATCTTGTTCATTAAACCATATTATAGGAACAGGTTTTTTTGACGTAGTTTTGTTTACGATTGTTGTTGTAGGTTGAGGAGAATTAGTTGGTGTCATAGAGAATAAACTAATAGCTGTAATATAATTGATTTGTTAGTAAGATTTCATATAGCTGAATAATTTACATAAAGGTTACTTACCTGCTAACCAATATGTTTCAATAAACGGCCATATCAGGAAGCAGTAAAAATCTTTATGGAATAATAAAAGAAGCTTATTTTTAAATGATACGAAGTACATAATAATGTGTAAGAAAATGTATCAAATATTTTTTAAACAAACTTTACCATAGTTCTCTCGTCCAATCGCTCTTTCCCTATCAGATAATAAAACATATTCGCCTTCAAGTTTCATGACTTGGTCATTCTATATTTTTTTTTTATTCAATTAAAAATTAGCAAAAAAAAATAATATTTTTTTTTTGTTTAAAATAGTAAAATTCAACATACTATTAATCCCTTTATTGTATTCTCCAAATTTATTTCGATCTCACCCGGTTGATATACAAATTCAACCTTCAACAACTGTGATAAAAATGTCACTTCATCTAAAAGTGTAGATATATGAAGTCGCTGTGTTGATTTTGCTCCTCCCTGTTTTATTTTTGTATACATTGCTGCAGAAACAATGGCTTATAACGTCGGTAAAATTTAAATATAGTTAACTAAATGGTCTATATAATTAAATAGTCTAACATATTTTAATAATACATACCCTCTGATACAAACAGATGCATCACCTATATATGATTTATTAAAATGAATATTTTGTATTAATTTGAAATTCAATAACATAAGTTAATGTTATCTATTTTACCTGATTTCGATAAAAGCTTAATTCAAATCTTTTTTCGGCATAAAAAACTGGTTCCAACAACTCTTTTCGTTCTTTAATTAAATCTTTTAATACAGTGATAGCTCTGTATAATAAAATTCAGATTATATACAATGATTTATAAAATAGAATTAATAAAAAAAAAATATATGTACCTATCAACTATCTCTCCTATGGTCATACCACTAAAATCTGCTACTCGTCCTCCCTTAGCTAGGATTGCGGTTCTTAACCATTCTACACGTCTAATTAATTCATTTCTACCAACTCCCTATGAATATTACGATATTATTCAAAATTATTAATTGTTAATTCATCATTTATGAAAATTGAAAACTTACTCGACCACGTAATGTCAATATTACGGTACCGACTTCAATTAATAATAATTTAAGTTGTTAAATAAATAACATAGCAGTATAAAAAAATTGTATAATATATAAATAAACTAACCAAGAGCGGTCGGCATTACTACTGAAACTGAATTCTAAAAATAAACATGAATAAATAAAAAACATCTGAATTGCCATGAATTTGTTCATTTGATAAACTCCTTTTATATAGATAAAATGCTCACAATATCTGACAAAACCCTAATATTATCAATATAAACACGTTGTTAGTAATAAATTCTATATTCCAATATATCGATATTGACTTTAGCAATAATACATACTGGTAGCCAAGAGCTCTCAATAACGTAATTTTTTGTTGTTCACTATTTGGATCAAATGATCTGTACCATTTATTTAAAACAATATTTTATAAATAAGATGCGCAAACTAAAATGAATAATAAACTCAGACAATTACTTTCTTCTCCCAATCTGTTCATTAATAAATCCTTGAAGAGAATAAGGCTTGGCAAATCGCACTATAAAAGATGATAAAAATGTTAAATAAAAGTAAATATTAGCATAGTACAGTAATAAAGAAATTACAGTGTTAGTTTACCGTCAATTCGACCCCACTTCAACTGTAATAATCTTGTATTAGTTACTATACCCCATAAACTTTCCCTTTCTTTGGGATTTCCTAATAATTCATTGACATAAGTCTCTGTCTCGATCACTTTATCATATTGGATAGACATGGGAACAATCCAACAATCCTTTGCTCTTCCCGATAGTATACAATCCAATACAATTTTTAAAATACCCAACTTCGGTGGTAACAATTTTCCAGTCCTACTTCTGGTTCCTTCTATGAAACATTCAATATTATGACCACGTTCCAATAAACCCTCTAGATATTCTTTAACTACACTTCCATAAAGTTGATCCTCTCCCCAAGAACGACGGATATAAAATGCACCACCTCGTTTAAGAATCCTACCAACAATTGGTAAATCAAGATTATTTCCTGCGGCAATATGTGGAAGTGCTAGACCCAATCGGAAAAACATATAAGATATGACAAGATAATCGATATGAGATTTGTGACAAGGAAGAATAATAAGAGATTGCGAATTTTGAGCAGCATGAATAGCCACCCGACGAAGCTAAAAAGATCAAACAATAAGTAAATACATGTATAATGTTAAAAAGAAAATAATTTATAATAAAGACTTACCTCAAGAAACTCGCGTTCTGATATGTGAACTCCCTGATGATACATCCTTACTAGTATATTATTTACAAAGAAACCGAAAAGTCTAATAAGAAGTTAAATAATATTACTATCACTCCCTTCTTAAAACAAGTAGTTATAATTATAAACAAACCTAATAAATCTCAAACTATTAAGATCAGCTACTAATTTATCAACCATCCCATTTGCAACAGCTTGTAATTCCTTTTCTAGTAATTTCTTCCTTCTTGCAATCATTTTTGAAGTTGCATTTGGTATTGTTTGAGCAAGTAGATTTGCCTGTTTTTCGGCCAAATAAGCAATCATATAAAGGACTATAATGAAAGCAATGTTTTTTTTAAAAAACTAATAAAATAATATAATTATTATTCTAATTACTATTAATATTACCACGTTCACTATTAAGAACTCGTTCTTTAACTTCTTCTGTATATCCTTCATATAATATCCGTGTTCCTATATAATTTTTGTAACTTCTCCAGCCCTATATATTACATCAGAATAATTAAAATTTATCAACTTAGATTGGTTAATCAAAGAGGCGACTTACCGTTCCTTGATAAAAAGCACCCATTTGCATCATAAAACCTACTGGATCATCGCGAAAGTGACCAGGGTGGTGTCGTCTATTTAATGGTTAGTTAAAAATTGCTTAAGCAGCAACATACAAACGACGAAAGGGTTTCTTTACTTGTGTCCAAGCAAACCATAGCTGTACAAACTCACGTCAGATTTCTTTCTTCGACACTTCTGGTGTCTCCAGTAGGTTGTAAACCTACTTCTTTGGTTTTTGCCTCACTGACAAGAGATGGTATTGGAGGTGAAGTGTCAGTTGAAGTAACTTTAGTCTTTTCAACCGTCAAAGATGACATTGGTTCGTCTTCAATGGGAGCAAAAGGCAGGATCAATGAAGGCTCAACTTTAGAATTTTCCTTGCCCATTAGTTTAATACAAAAATTAAAATCTAAAAAATCGATAAATTGATACAAATTTTTATAATAGATGGTGATCTTCCCGACACTTTTTTCACTCACGTGATCTTGATTTATGTTACACGTACATTTATTACATTACTATATGGTTTGCATTTTTGTTTAAATGAACAAATTAATGTATAAACACATTAAACACATTATGGAGCATCCACACCATTCTTTTTCTAACCGTTTCTAAACATATCTAGACAATTCTCGTTTTGATGTAATAAAATTAAGAATATATGAATAATCTTTGCCTTGGAAAGCCAAAGCACCGGCATGTCATCCCTTTTATGGTTAATGTTACACAATTATTTATAGCTACGACGGAGAGATTTCATAGTGATAAGGACTTTTTATTGCTACTTACCAAAAACCCTTGAAATTCCCGTCATGTGCATATATAAGAATGATGTGCGTCAGGTGATAATCGTGATTTTTAATTTCATTACGACATATATATGTTGATGATTGATTTAATTATTTTAATGCATATCCGATATTTAGACTTTTTATTTTATTTTTGCAAAACTATGGTACATCAAAGATACAGTACTTGTTTTAATTATTTGTCAAATTTATCACTACTTCCATACACAGTACTTGATATCTGTTCAGGTAATCTGGGATCGTTATACCAAATATTCGGCAAATATTCTTATTGTACCAAACTTAATAGTACAATTTTTTATCAAAAAAAATTATCATAATGAAAGAATTATATTTTTGCTAAGATGCCCTGTAAAGTTCTCTTACTAATAATTATAATAAAAAATTTGTAGCTACCAAACTAAAAATCTGCAACATATTTTAACCGACTTTATAGTTTAAATATTGAAAGGTCAACAATTAGTGAAATTTTAAAAGAAAAGGAATAATGGCTTTCTATGACAACTATTTCAGTTTCAACTTACAGCGTGAAGTAAAGTATCCTTTACTTGAACAAGTAAGACAAGCATTATCAAAAAATATAATTTATTAATGTTTATTTGTGAACAAATTTAAAAAATAAAGTGATGTGATTAAATTTTATTCAATGTCTTATTTCTTATTTTATTAGAAGATAGTTTAATCATCACTCCCTAGTCCCTCCTAATTAAAAATCATTTTTTTCTTTAAGTAAATCAAGTGCTTTCGCGGTATGTATAAAGTGATCAGTCGGCCAATCATATTTTGTTTATCTTGTGATCACATCAGCCACCAGCCACTTTCGTGACTTTTTTTAAAATTACCTTAGTTGCTATCTGTAGGTTCGAACTTTTTTAATTTCAGAGAGGTTCTCTTTCAAGAAATAATCTTTTTCATGATTGTGTAGGCGAAAATATTGTATGTATGGGTGGGATAATTTATTTCGGAAATCTGGTGTTTATAGAAGCTGTGAAAGTCTCGTAATTAGCGATATAGATAGAAACAAATTAACTATAGAAATTATTTGTAGAGCAAAGAAATGAAAATGGCAGTTGTCTGATGTTAAAGCCCTTTGCCGACCGGATGGGATAGTACATACCGGTCGAACAATATAATTTATAAATCACTTTTATTAGAATGAACCCCCGGATTTCACGGAAGCAAGAAAAAGGAGTAGACCGCGCCAACTCCACATCTACCAGCCAACAATTATTGAGTTCAACGGGAATGGAAATATAAATGCAAGTACTACTATCAATGGCGGATCTTTTATCACTGGATTGCCTAAGGAAACTATGGCAAAAGAGAAACGATCAGGGTATAAAGTTGACAAATTTGTAAACATTAGTCTGTAGTCGATAAAGATGGTTCAAACAGGAGAACTGTCTACAAAATCATTTAAGAAATTATGCACTTCCTGCGTCACCATGTCCAGGATCACCAAATGCTGACCATGAATTAGTTTAGCTTTTATGTTATGTGTTACCAATAAATGTATGCGATGCATCATTTAGATTTTAGTAAATGGAAAATTTCAATTTTAATTTTGACGATAATTTAATGACCAGTTTTCTTTGATTGAAAATTACTATAAAGGTATTTTTAATAATGTACGCCATTATACCAATTTTCATTCATCACAATGAAGAGAATGAAGAACTAAAAACTAATTCAACAATAAAAAAAAGGCAGCAAATTAATATTACTTTTTAGGTGACAATCTTTTTTAGAAGAATAAAAAAAAAAAATACTTTGTAAAATTTTGGCGTAAATTTTGCATCTAAAGCACAATCTTTCACTATGGATTAATCTTTATGCTTAAACATAAATGGTAAAATTAAATTTTATTCGTAATTATATAAATAGACGCACCGAAAAATTTTTTGTCGTAAATTTTCTCTTTAATTACGCGACATGGAAGACACTGTTATTGAAATTTCGGCACTGTCACCACTTTCTCAAGGAGATAATTCAATCCTTGATATTGATAGTGAAAAAGATAATTCAATTGTTAATAGTAATAGTGAAGTAACTTTGCTAGAAAAGAATCCTGTCCGACCGCATAATGGGAAACAAATAGATAAAATTATTATTTCTCAAGGAGATAATTCAATCCTTGATATTGATGGTAAAAAAGAAGTTTACAGTGACGACGTTACTTATAGTGAAAAAGATAATTCAATTATTAATAGTAATAGTGAAGTAACTTTGCTAGAAAAGACAGATAATTCTAATAGTGAAGAAGCTCTCAAAAATTATGTTGTTACATACAGCAAAGAAGATAATTCAATTCATGGGTGGTCAATTAACATTGAAACGAATGGACAACGACATCAACAACCCGATGTGTATTTTAAGCTTGATGAAGAATTGGGTATAGATATAGATTTAAAATCATTTGTATTATATAAAAAAATTTTATTATTTTATTATCGTAAAAATAAAAATAAAAGTGAATATAAAATTGAAAATAAAATTGATTATGAAAATAATTATTGTAAGTATTTATTTTATCATAAAATAGTTTTAATTTAATTAATTTAAAAATTTATATTATAGATCTTATTGATTTAAATGGTGATAAAGGTCGATCTCTTCAACTAAAGCATGTAGAAGGACTTCATGTTAAACGACATTCGATTGGATTTCTTCCAAATGGTGATATAATTCTAGTATCATTAAATGATAAATTAAAAGATTATAAAATTTATAAGTATTCTAAGCCAAAAACAAATACAATTTCTTGGGAGAATTATAAAATATATGATATAGAAATTCTTGAAGGATTAATAAAACATAATACAAATTGTTTTATATATCAAACAAAGTTATTTCTTTTTAATGGACGTCGGATGTACCAATGGAATTTAGATAATTTAGATAAATCAAATAGAATAACTTTTGAAAAACAATACTTTCTTTCTGATTATACATCTGATAATTCAATTAGATCATTTAGTATAGTAATAAACAAACGTCAAACATTATTGGCATTAAAGATTAAAAAGTATCATGATAAAATTAATATATTTTCAATGGAAACTGGAATGTGGATTTCAAGACTCGGTTAGTATTTACTTTTTTTTACAATGTTTTATAATGTACAATATTTATAATTTTATTTCATTTTTTTATATTATAGATGATCAATATTATCATCATACTCCAGTAGAATTTGTAACCTTAAAGAATGGCTCTGAAGTATTATTAATTGTTAAAGATAGCAATAACAAAAGTAGATTTCTAGATCCTTTTGTTACTTCCAATGTAATTGATATTGATGATATCAATACCGATAAAAATATTGTAACTAAATCAGACAAAAAGATCTCCATTGTTGATAATAATGTTTCGGTTACAGATGGAAATAATTTTGAACAAATACTAAATACCGTTTGTATTTATACTAAACCTATTTTCACAACTATAAGAAATATGCTTAAAGATATTAGTGAAAATGACAAAGAAGGTTTTGAATTTCCAGATAACAATAAGATTGAATTAGAATATGGAAATCATTTTCGGTTTATTATTGAAAAAAATTCAAATCAGGATGTTTACATTAAAGTATCTGAAAAATCACAAAATAATAATAAATGGGAAGAAATTGGGAACAAAAAATGTTATCATTATACTGATTTAATTTCATATAAACAACTAGATAATCAGGAGTTGGTTTTAATTATTAGAAAAGGAATCTATATTTATACAATAGCTAAAGACGAACATTCTAGAAAATTAAGACTTCGATATTTTTGGACGAATAAGGAATGGAACGAATATATTGAAACTTTAACAGACGGAAAGACAACAAAAAATTATGAATTTAAATCTCTTATTAATAATATTTTGAAAAACGAATTTAAAGATTCAAAATTTTCATTACCATCACCAAATTTTACAACTATACTTGAAAAGATTGGTTCCCCAAAATACGGGGAGTTATTTTTAGATATTATAAATGATCCAGCAGAATTTTCAAAATTTAGACAAGAAATACAAGAAATGTTAGAAAAAGCAATTGATAAAGGTGATAACTTTGTTATTAAATCAATTGTTAATAAAATAAATAACCCACCAAATTTTCTAGAAAAAGCAATTGAAAAAGGCCATTACTTTACTATTAAATCAATTGTTGATAAAACTATTGAATTAATCAAATCAAACGATTACTTAAATTACAATTATATGATTATGATTAGTTTGATCAGTTCAAATTTAACTAAATTATGCGAACATTATCCAAATTTAGCAATGAAATATATCTCATGTACATCTATTTTATTAGATCCTGATTGTTCATCAATTAGTTGTCAAATTAATCCTTCTCCAATTTATACATATTCAAAAAACATTTATATTAAACCATCAGAGAAAAGTGAAGATAAGTCATCATTAAAAGAAAAAATTGAAGAGAAGGAAATAAATCAAATAATTAGTTTTATTGTTCCTTTTCCTCATATTTGTGATAGCACCGAATATGATAATCATTGGAATGAATTAATATATAAACGAACATCTGTTCTTTTTTGTAATGTAGATACAAATGATTATTATCAACTGTGGAATTTTTTAGCTATTATAGATTTTAAATGGAAACATTTCGGAAGGATTTATTATTATTTAATTTGGTTTTTTTATACTATTTTTTATCTTTGTTTTACATTTGCATCTACATTAGAACAAAAATTCATTTCTGATTTTAATCGTAAAATACTTTTTATATTTTCAATTATACTTGGTTTTATACATTTAACTTTTGAAATTCGACAATTTTTATATTTACCAAATAAAATTTATTTAAAAGATATATGGAATTTATTTGGTAAGTGATATATTTTATACAATTCATTTTTTTTTTAAAAAAAAAAAAAATTAATCAATTTCTTTTTATTATTAATAGATTTAGGAGCATATTCTTTACCTATTATAACATCTATATATTGGTTTATTGAAGATGAACCATCTCTTTGGATTACAGCAATTTCTATTATATTATTAAATTTCAAATTTTTATTATTTTTTCGAGTACTTCAATATTTTGGAATTTATTTTATTATAATGATTGGTGTTGGCAGAAAAATTATTCCATTCCTAGTGATATTGCTTTTTATTATACTTGGATTTGCTCATGCATTTTTTATTCTTTTAAGATCAACAAAAAATGATGATGAAAATGATCCATTGAATCTTGCTGTTAAATACAATTCTGTTAATTCAGATGGAACTATAAATTCTAATCCTACATTAATTCAACCTCCTGATTCAAATACAAATATGTTTAATTATTTTCCCACTTCACTTTTAGCAATGTATTTACTTCTTATAGGTAATAACTTAATTTTATTTTATAATAACTCTAAAGTTTTAACTTCATGATTAATTTATTTATTATTTTTGAATAAAATTATAGGTGATTCTGGATCTTTATCACCATGGACATATCGTGAATCTCATACAATGACATTTTTATTATTTTTATTTACATTTTTCACAGTAATTTATCTTATGAATCTATTTATTGGTTTGCTTAATATGGCAATTGAAAAATATGACAATTATGAAGAATTCTTACTTCAAAAAGCAAAGGTATTGTATTTTTAATAATCATAATCTGATTTATCAGTTTTTTTTTTTTAATCATATTTTATTATTATTTTAAAAGGTTATCATGGAAATTGAATTATTTTACATGTTACCTCGGCACAAAAAAAAGAAAGAATGGTTTCCAGATTGGATGTAATGTATAATATTTGTTATTATTGAAATATTTATAATTAATTTATTTGTTAATTAAAATTTATTTAATTATTTCCAGTCATTATAGTATTCCTGCTAATGAGGTTCGTAAGTTCATTATAGCAATTGATAAAAATAAAACTGGATTTAAATTTGATCCACCGTTTATCAGTAAAAAATTAAGAAGTTTAGTAGATGTTGAAGATGTTGAAGATAAAGATAGACAAGAAGAAGAAAAGCATCAAGCACAAATAAAAAATATGGAGCGTAAACTTGAAGATATGCACAAATTATTAAAAGACCTTGAAATTTTTAAAAATGCAGATGATAATAAAACTAATATTTAATCAGTGGAAAATTTGATCTTGGATATTTTAATTAGTCATAACAGATAAAAAATTGAATTAAATATTGGCTGAAAGACATTAATTTAAAATTTTAACAGCAATAATATAAGGGACTTATTTACTGTCCGTTAACTTATTTAAAAATTTTTGTTGAACAGTTGACTATAAAGTGTTTAATTTTAACTTTATCCATTCAATTTCACTTTTCCTGGCTAATTATAGTGAGCTTTGATTCAGTTGCCATTCATAAAATAAACCTAACATCGATTAAAAAGCTTATTTGAAGTAATAACCGTTAACTTATTTAAGCAAAATTTCGCTGGTAGTGATATAGATAGGCGTAAAAATTTATTTCAGAAATCTAGTGTAGATGGGGCTGAGAATCTTATAGTTAACAATAGTGATAGAAACAAAATAGCTATAGAAATTTATAAGAAATCTGAGAGTAAAGAAAATAACTTGATGCTGGGACTCGCATTAAATGGTTTAGGATCCGCGTACTCCCTCCCTCTTTGATAGCATCATATAATTCGCTTGCTAACTATATCATTTTCTAATTAGCCATGTGTCTGAAAAATCAATAAAATTTCACCCATTTAGGGAATTTGAATCTAAAATTTTTTTCGTAAAATACCCTATTTATCTCTGTCAAGTAATAAATTCAAGTTCGCGACCATAAATCTGTAAAGTAAACCCCAATAACTCACAGCGTAACGGATCAACCTAATCAATTAGATCATCAATCGAACTGTGTGACAACCGATTTCAAAAGTGACTTGGGGGCAAATGTATCTTTCTTATACGTGTACGACATACTATCTTATACTATTATGTGACATATACGTCGTATAGAACATAGCACCTGATCATATAAGAACGATACATTTGCGACTTGGGGTGATTCTTTCTATCAGCTCATTTATATTATACTTACAGCATATCCGAATACTTCAACCGAAATCCTGAAAGCTGAGCCGTTTGACCGAAAAATAGATTTTTACATAAAATCCCGAAAAAATCGCTGACTATGATCAAGGTATCTGATGCCAAAGGCTACTTGCTGGTCCCACTGGGACATAGGTGACCTACTCGGTTGTGATGATGTTCGAGTGGGATGAGAAATCGATGATAAATTGGCTAATAAAAGACTATTACTAATCTTAAATCTTCCATGAAAAAAAGCAAAGGAATGTATTTCAATAAATATATTGTATATTTGTATTATAAAAATATATTTTTTATTAATAAATATTAGCAGAGTATATCTTATTAGTTATAAAAATAATCTAAAAGAGTTTTCCTATTAAAAAATATTGAATTATTGCAATTTAATATTTATAAATTTATTATTAAATTTTGCTTAAACATATAATGCTAAAAAAGTTAATTTTAAATGAATTGATAATTAAATAATTGATTTTTTTTAATAATTTAAAATTAGTTGATTATTACTAAATATAATATAATATAAAATGAAATATGAAATATAAAGTTATTTTTTTCAATAAAAAAAGTATGAAATATTGGCTAGTATTAAAAAGGTAATAAAACTTTAACTGGTACTATTTAAAAAGAAAAAGATCTATATAAATATTTTGTTTTCCTTGGGATTTTTTATATATATAATATGATTTTTATTATATAATGAGTTGTTTTCTTTCTAATAGTTTTTTTATAATTGTATAATTTTTTGCTTATTAATTAATTCTATTAAGTTTTCTATTACTTCAAATCACCGTCACCGTTGGCCAGAATTATCAAATTTTACCGGCACTATATTTTTTTAATGCTGGTCGATCGTCATAATTTCAGTCACCGGTGATCATCACCCCCGGTGATAGTTAGAAAAATTCTAATATTAATTAGCCTTTTTAGTATAGTATTGTCTCTCCAAGTACTCTTTGAGATCATAGTAAAAAATGCACTTAGAATTTATTTATAGAGAATAAAATATTAAGAGCTCCTATAAGTTGAAACCATGCTTACTGCTATAGAAGGTGCACTTATAGAGGTGCTACTGTATTACTTTTTTTTTGAATTTAAAAGCATATATATATATATATATAATTTGAGAATATTTTTATTTGGTCAAAAATTTCTTTTGTATAGATTTGAAATATTTGAGGTGGTGCTCTAATTGTTACATGAATTACGAATTAAAACTACAATATAACATAATCACGTTGAGGCACGCGACTTTTGCCTGATTTTTCGGTAAGTTGACACTCACAACTACAATCGTTCTAAAATTAGATTATTCTGCAAATCGGTTTCTCTACTTATTTAATCTGAATTTTGAAGTTTTCTAAGCATTAATTCATCAAACTAATGGGGTTTGAGGAATTGTTTGGTAAAAGCTCACCCGGCGTCCAAAAAGATGAAATTACTAATGCAAATATACGACCTAAAGTAAATAATAGTTCAATATTGGGCGCAGTAGGCCAAGCTTTTAATCAAGCAAAAAATCACGATAATAACGTTTCTGGCGAAAAGCAAGCCGTCATTAATGCTCACACTTTTCAAGAAAAATTAAAAGTTTATTCTTCGGAAATAACGGAATCTCCAGACCCGAGTGATACTTCTGATAATATGAGTGATTCTGACGAAACAGAATCGTCAGATTCTTCTATTACTAGAGTAGAAAAGAGTAAAAATAAAGTAAAAAATGATTTGAATTTAGAAAAGTCTACTGATGTTGATAAAGGAGCTCGTGCCAAAGTATCAGCCAATATGATAATTTCTGATTTTAGTAATTTGCAATTGCAATCTAAACATCATCAGGAACAATACGAAAATTCTTCATTAACTAGTCCTACAGCATGGATAGAAACTAGTAATGAATCAGGTCGTAATAACGCAGTACGACGGCCAAGGGTAAAAGCATCTACAATCTCTGAGGGGAATTTTAGTTTCCAATATAAAAAATCGAATATTGTTGACAATCAACCTCGTAAAGTTTCGTTCGATTCTAATTCCGATGCCACTCTTAGATCAGAACAAACATATGCTCGTTCTGATACTCGATCAGATGTCTCTTGGGGAAGTGACCCTGGAAAAACACTGTATAATAATAGTAATCAAATCTCGCCTCGACAGCCAAAAGTACGAAATACTAACTCCGATTTCAGTTCTTATTTATCACAATATCAAAATGATAATTACGTACATAATGTACATAATAATAACCAAAAAAGTTGGTCTGATGTCACATATGGTGGTCCAATAGAATCATCTACTATAGTATCACATTATAGTGATCCTGGACCTCGTAAGAAAATATCTGTTTCTGCACAAATGAATGTAAATAATGAAATAGAAGATTATGAGGAAGAAAATACAGTTGAAGACGATCAAGAAGAATTAGAGGAATTGATGAATATGTCCTCTAATCCAAAAATACAAAGAAAGGTATATCAACTATTTTTTTTTTTTTTTTTTAAAAAAAAAAAATTTAAATTTTTTGAGATTAACTTTGTATACTTATCATTAAATTTTCGCAATGATAAAGTTCCTTGATCTTAAAATTGCCAATAAGTCTCTACTCACCTTAAATGGCACTTTAGAGGAGACTATCAAAAAGCAATCCTCTAATTTGAATACATTTGAATCGATGACGGATGTGCAACAACTTCAACTTGATCATATAACTAAAGTTGAAGAATTGATGCGTGAATTATCTATCAAAATTTCATCGCAAGAATTAGAAATAAGAAATCTAAAAAATAAATTAGAAGATAATTCGTGAGTATATAATATAATATTTAATTCAAGTTAGATTTGTTATTGTGTCTTTATTAAGTATATTTATTATTTATTATGATAACAACAGGGGAAAACAACAAAAGGTGAGTCTGTTAAATATGAATAACAAACCCAATGAAAAATTTATATTCACGTTGGGAAAGTTTTTGATCTTGGCTTCATTGTACGGAATATTATTTAATCTGAATTTTGAAAAAATATGGAATCTATTAAAAAGCCTACTAGAGTATCTTTATTCTATGATCCAAGAAACCTTCCAATGAATACACTTCCGAATATAATTTTTGATAGAGGTTAGTTCTTGTAATTCATTTAAGGTTATTTTCACTTTTCGAGTTTATCTCATTTATTTATTTATATATTTTTAGTTTACGAAGATATCGTAATTTTATTTTCGGTGGTAATTTCCCTGATTTACACCATTTATATTTTACCCATAATAGTTACGGCTAAAACAGTCAAACTATTGGCTGATAAATCTAGAACAAAAATTTGGGAAATAACTGGTTAAATTTGTATTTATATGTATTTCTATATTATTTTTTCCTTCAATATTTAGAATAATATTTTTTTTTATTCTGAATTTGTATAAACAGTAATAATAAAAAAACCAGAAAATAGGAAATGCAAATATGCTAATATATACGTATAAAACTTATTCGTGATTTAGTTATGATCTCGAAATTACTTTAATGTTATGTTCTTTTTGAAATGCGATGAATTCTTCCTCTTTGGTTTTGTAGGAATGAACAAGATTATTCATTATATTCTTTACCTATTAAAAATAATAACATAAATAATGCTTCTAGACAATTAACCAATTTTATTATACGCTTACCCCATCATGATTCGTTTGCAAAGCAGGTAACACGTCTTTTACAGTGCGTTCAAGCAATACTCCGTTGACCAAACGAAAACACTTCCGATCACCATTCAAAGGAGATAATGTATCTATGACTGCCCTAAGCAAACCAAAACAATTATTGAAACAAAATATATATATCATAAGTTTCATATAAAAGAAAATCTCACTTATGTTCGTCAGCTTCAGATTCTAACTCTCCGATCTTTTGAGCTATATTCTGTAGCTCTGTTTTCATAGTGTTAAACTGAGCCGTTATTTCTGTTTAAAATTTTGTTTCAATAGAAAACTTATATAAAAAATTTTAATTAAATAAAAATTTTACCTTGATCGGTGAGTTTCTTTGTTTTTGAGCTCGACATTGTTATTAACTACATTTTATGATGATTTTCGCAAATTCAATTTAAAAGTTGGTATCACGTGGAGATAATGCGATAAATATCTCATCTATTTTTAAAGTGAAATTATTTTACTCTTTCTACATGTCATCATCCGAATATGCAAAGTTTATTATTGCCGTCGCATGGGCTTGTAGTTCTTGGACTAAAGGTAAATCTATTTTCCAATATTTTTGTGTTTTGAATAATATAACTGACTACTTTTAAATAAACGGGGATAAATAGCATATTTATTGCTTTACAAAGCTAATGTTGGTGGCGCACCTTTGATATTTCGTAAAAGACTTTCTGAAGGTGAAAAAAAGATAGTGGCGTGTTTCCATATGCTGGTAGGATAAGCAAAATTTACATAACATGATTCGTTATTGAGAGATAATCAAAGATAATGTTTTAGGAAATAACTAGATAATGGGTTCATTAATGTAAAAATTTAAAAAGAATAATAATATTATGATTTGGTTTATAAATTATTCGACGATTATCACATTGTGCATGATATTTATCATTTCAGATTGTATACGCACTTTTGCGATGGTTGAAAATCAAGGTAATTAAGTATTTTTGAATACTTTTAATACTTTTTATATTATCATATTAATATCTAATTTATTTATAATCTCATTTAGTCTCTTCCTTCTCCACATGTCATTTCTCTTCCGCCACTTGTTGCTTTAATATCAGAATTATTTTGGTGCTATTTACCGACGTGTTTTATAGAAGAATCTATTCATTTTCTTCTTTTAAGACATTTTATGCATATCCGAAATTCTACGTGTTTGATTATCAAAGGACGACCAGTATTAGATGGCACAAAAGATGATGACTGTTGTGTATGTTATGGAGTTGGAATTGGGAATGGACCTTATTATTCTGATGATCCGAATATGGATTCATTAGGAGTTATTGAAAATTATTGTAAAGTCTCTCATCATGTAGCACATCGAGATTGTATGTTTAAATGGTTGGGAATTAGTGTTGTATCGCGTTTAGGATGGCAAAATTCAAATCTTAGATTAAGACCGATTCCTACTTGTCCTATATGTCGCGGGGAAATAATTTTTGAAGTTATTCAAAAGAACTTATTAGAAAAGGAGGAGATAATTGAAGGAAAAAATAAAAATAATTGGTTGCGAAAACTTGGTGCATTGATCAAAGATTGGCGTAACGTCATGGACTGGCGTTGGATCATCGTGAGGGTTGAAGTTACAACTGTATATATCTTAATGGTTTGGAGAATTTTGAAATGGAGGGAAAAAATAATACGAAGTCTTACCTATTATAATCGAAATTTAACAAATTCGTAAACTAGAAATAAATCGTAAGTAATTTTCGAAGATTAATCTACTGTGAATCATATATTAAATAAAATTTTTATTGATTTTTTTAAATAATAGTAATAACATCTTTTTAAAATTGCGATAATTAAATTTCTTTATAAAATTCGGAGATCTCCTCCTCTTCCTCAAAGGCGGGATCGGACATTTCTTGTGTGAACCACATTTCTCGATAAATACCGTCCTCTTTTTGCATAAGAACATCATGAGTTCCTTGTTCCACTATAGCTCCATCTCTTAATACGATTATTTTATCTTAGTATTGAAAATATACATTATATTAATTCAAATGCATTTAAAATAAAATTTAATATTAAAAAAAACAAAAATTAAATTATATACCCGCATCGGCAATAGAACTTAAGTGATGTGCAACAAACATGCTAGTTTTTTGACTCTCCTGAAGGATACTTCGGATATTAGATAAAAGCGATTGTTCAGTATGTGTATCCAAAGCAGAAGTCGCTTCGTCAAAAAATATTATCGGAGGATCTTTCAGGATTGTTCTTGCTAACGCAATTCTCTGTTTTTCGCCTCCAGAAAGCATTAAGCCTCGTTCACCTACGAGCGTTTTGTATTTGTCTGGCAATGACATAATAACATTATGTATACGTGCACGCTTAGCTGCGGATTCAACCTTGTCCCGATCAGCAGTTATCTGACCGTATGCAATGTTATGATAAATTGTGTTGTTGAAAAGGGAAGTATCCTGACATGACAGAAAAAAAAAGCTAAAAGATTATGGTTTAATTAATTAAATTAAATTAAATATATTATTAATTGAATTACTTGCGGCACAACACCGATGTTCGCTCTTAAACTTTCCAATGTTACATCTTTAATATTTTGTCCATCGATATATATGTTACCGCTCTGTGGATCGTAAAACCGGAAAAGTAATCGGAGAATAGTTGATTTCCTAATAATTTTTATTTTTAGATAAAGTGTTTTAATAGATGTTAAAAAATCAGGGAAATGTAAGTTAGCTAACTGAATAGCTAGAAACTAGAAGTTATGGAGAGGAACTCATATATTTCTAATTAGAATAAGAAATATATTGTGTCGTTTTAGCTACATATTACTGGATATATTGAAAAACATTGTAAGACTTACCCACATCCACTTGGTCCTACCACTGCAACTTTCTTTCCTCTAGGTACAGTAAAACTTATTCCTTTCAAAATTAAGCGGTCAGGGTGGTATCCAAATATAACATCTTCAAATTTTATTTCACCACCTTTATGCATTAAAGGTTTTGCGTTGAGTGAATCCTACAATTAAAATCTAATTTAATAATATCTGATTTACAATATATAGAAAATCTTTTAATCTCTTACAAATATACCTTGATAGAAATATTCACTCCTTGTAAATTGAACATAATGTCCATATCAATCAAACTTTGACGCAGTTCCCTATATACCGAACCGAGAAAATTGAGAGGTAAAGATAATTGAAATACGAGCTGGTTGACCATCACCAAATCACCGACCGTAAGATTCCCTTAAAGAAAAACTTGTAAGAAAATACAATGTGATTTCCAATAAAAAACCAACCAATTTAATGAGATACCTGAAACAACCCCTTGAGCAGCCAGAAACATCATAGTGGTCAACGCACTACTAAATATAATATTTTGTCCCGAATTTAGGAGGGAAAGAGATGTCGCAATTTTAAGAGATGCTTTCTCATATTTCTCCAAAGCCTTATCATATTGTTCTGTTTCAAATTTTTCATTATTAAAATACTTTACGGCTTCATAATTAATCAAGGAATCAACCGCAACTGTGGCAGCTTCATTATCAGCTTGATTAGCCTCTTTTCTGAATTTTGTTCTGTAAAAAAAAAAAAAAAAATAAAGAATAATTGAATAACATAATTAAATTTTTTAATCAATCAAATAGAGATATTGGTCAATAAAGCCACTGCTCTCAGTGAGGATAAGTTAAAGAAAAAAAATAAAATAAAATAAAAGTATTGCTTGTAATGGAATTAGTCATTCATAAAGACAAGCCTTTTCATAAAAAATTACCGCCATGATGTTGTTTTAATGGTGAAAACTGCATAAGTTAGCATTGTAAGTGCCGTAACTGTTGCAAAGTGCGTGCCATAATTATATACCTAATAATAATTATTATAATAAACCGTGTATTGAGATATAAATAATAACGATGTCAAAAAAAAAACTCACCAAAATACTACACACAATGGATATTTCCAATGCAGTAGGTATTACATGAAAAACAAGGGATGAAAGCAAAAAGCTTATACCTCTAAATAAAAAATTTATTAAAACGATATTCGAAGTGCAGCAATTAAATCGCAAATTTAAAATCGAACTTACTTCGTTCCACGATCAATAGCCCTACTTAAACCACCAGTTTGGCGAGATAAATGGAAATTTAAATCAAGTTGATGCAAGTGATAAAACACATTCCTAGCAAGCTTACGAATGGCTTTTTGGGCCACATTTGCGAATATTGCATTTCTTAATTCTTGAAATATAGTCGAACCAATGCGAGCTGCACCATCTATAAAGATCACGCAAAACAGAATTAAATATAACAATAATTTTAACTATAAGATATTCATTTGTACACTTGCATCCGATTATCATTGCTCCAGCAATCGTCCATACTGTTCCAAATTGTGACATATCAATATTTAAGGAGTCGACTACATGTTTAAAAAAAAATGGAACTTGCACATTAAGGAGCTAAAAACGATAATATGAAAATTAGTTATAATAAACTTTGACCAAAAAATTTTAATCAATTCTTACTTTGCCCGCAACCAACAATGATAAGGCAGTTACCACCCGAATTTTGACAGCCGGATCATCTTTTGGCCAAATATAACGGACCAGATTTTTAATAATTTTCCAATCTGTAGAAGTTTGTGTTGTTCTGATAGTCTTATCAATAGCAGCCGGGGGACGAGAAGCGGGTAGTGTAGGTTCTTTGAGTGATTTTTTTAAAGGGGCTTTCGTATTGACAGCAAAATAGCGAATGTTCCATATTGGCTACAAGTGTTATACATTGTAATATTCAAATTAACCATAGTAAAATCATAAACATTATTTAATTTATACTTGCATTTGAGATAACAGTTTGAATTTGTCCTCGTTTCCGACAATTCTTCAAAAATACTGTTGAGCAGCTAATAAGATTTGCTTTTCTGTTAACAATATAGTGTAACGTTCTTTTTTGTAAAAACTATTTTTTAATACATCAAAGTTATAAGACTTTATGAAAAAAGAAAACTAGGAAAATTCTTCAAGTAATTACTAACTGAGCTGTAAACTTTAAATTGAAGCGGTGTTGAAGTTGGAACTGTTAAATAGACTGTGACTCTTGCACTTAAATTTTGGTGCAAGGTTGTTGTAAGACCTCTAATTAACATTACGCCGTAAGTTAACTGTTCCGTTATTAAGAACGAAGAATTTTGCAGCTAGCAATCTTTGATTATTAACATCTTTCTCCGAGTCGCTGTTACACATCATTTTATCACATCTTATCAAAAAAATTTTGTATTTTCACATTTGAATTTTATCGTGAGAATGGGAAAAGAACGAGTTGCCAAAAAAGAGCGGCACAATCCTCTTCATGTTCAACTGCTGGAAGATAAAAAACCCGGTGCCAAACATACTAAGCCAAGGCGAAGTCAAGAAAAGGAAAAAGACGATGTATAAGAGTTTATTATTTTATTATTTCGAGTGTTCTTTTTTTTTTTTTTTTTGAATCAAATCTCAAACATATTACGTTTAGAAATATGTCGAACCAAGTCTTTCGCGGAAAATTCTCAAAATTGCAAAGGAACAACAGGAAGAACTTCAGGAAGAACTTGAGGAGGAGGATACTTTAGATAAAGGTCAACCCAAGTAAGAAAAGAATCCAATGACTATTTTATTACCTTATTAACAACTTATAATAAATATCTACGTTTTAATTTATTTTAGTAAGAATGATCAAAATAAAATATTTTCTTCAATAATCGAAAGTGAAAGTGAAGAAGATTATTCTGACGAAGAAGATTTTGATTATGAGGAATTGGTTAATATTATCGAAAATTTTACGTATTTTAATGATCTCTTCTTACTAATGTCGTATATTAACATGAATAGGAAATTGATGAAAAGGATCAAGAAATTCTAAAAAAGTTTTTGCCAAATGCTCCAAGGGAAAGGAAAACTTTGGCAGACCTGATTATGGAAAAAATTGAATCGCAAAATTTGATCAAGGATAAAACTTCAGGTTAGTAATTATTTGAATAATTTATGTAATACAGAAATTATTATTTAACGTATGTTGTATTTATTAGATGTAACGTCTCAACATCCGTCTATAAATCCAAAAGTGGTCGAAGTTTATACAAAGTACGTTGAAAATATCACATATTTAATAAGTATAACGAACGAATTAACGAAATTTGCAATCTATTTTAGAGTTGGCACACTTTTGAGGCGTTATAAGTCCGGAAAACTTCCTAAAGCTTTCAAAATTATTCCATCTTTGTCCAATTGGGAAGAAATTTTGTACCTAACTCATCCTGAAAATTGGACTCCTCATGCGACTTTTCAAGCCACGAGAATTTTTGTTTCAAATCTTAAGACTAAACAAACACAAAGGTAAGATTAAATGAGCACTGCTTAATGTTTATCTCCTTGCAAAAATAAAAGTATACGGAATAGTACTTGTATAATGAGTATATATACAATTTACATTACTTACAACAGGTTTTTTGATCTCGTCCTTCTTGAAAAAGTCCGAGATGACATTCATGAAAACAAAAAGCTTAATTACCATTTATATATGGCTCTCAAAAAAGCATTGTATAAACCAGCAGCATTTTTTAAAGGAATCTTGTTTCCATTGTGCGAAGTGAGCAAGAATTAAATTTTATAATAATAAGCATTATAAATTTATTTACTAATTACTACACACTTTATATTAATAGTCAGGTACATGTACATTAAAAGAAGCCGCTATCATTGGTAGTATAATCTCAAAAGTTAGTATCCCTATACTTCATTCTTCGGCTGGATTGTTACGACTTGCTGAAATGGAATATTCTGGACCAAACAGTCTATTCATCCGCATATTACTTGATAAAAAATACGCGCTACCTTATAAAGTGGTAGACGCGTTAGTTTTTCACTTTTTGCAGTTTAAAAATGATGAAAGGACGATGCCGGTATTATGGCATCAGTCATTTTTAGTTTTTGCACAAAGGTATATTTAACCTATTTGTTGCACGTCAAATTAGATTGACTATTTCTTTTTGATATGATTAATGACCAATAATAATTTTACAGATATAAACAAGATTTAACAACTGAACAGAAAGATGCTCTTCTTGAAGTATTAAAAGTCAAATCTCACGATCTTATAACGTCGGAAATCCGCCGTGAAATTATTAATTCTGTTGCACGTGGCGAAATAATCGACGATGTGGAAATGGAAATTATCTGATCGACTGATCACCAAAAAGGTTAAATAAGCAAATAATATAAATTCACGTATTTTATACGGAGCATTGAACCATTTTACGACACGTAATTAGTTACATAAATTTAAATGACTAAAATGTACATCATACACATCTGACATATTCGCATACAGCCAATAGTTAATTGACAACACTAAAATAATCTCCAACCAATAGAATAATGCCAACAATATATTTTATTTCGTATTTCAACATTATAAAAAGGTCTTTATTTAAGATACTTTTATCTCAATTTCTTTTGTCATAATTGTCCGGTTAAAAACTGCTGTCTATTTTCGATAATTCTTGAATATTTTAAAATGAAGAAAGCTACTTTCTTCAAATTTATTGCAGTGTTATGTTCACTGTTAATAACTATTCCTATTGTAATAGTAATTGCTGATGAGAAACCCGACGTTGGAACAGGTATAAAAATTAATTGTTGAATATTGTTCTCTCGAAACTTATAAGTCTAATATTATATTCCATGGATCGACAGTTATCGGTATAGATTTAGGAACAACTTATTCTTGTGTTGGAGTACACGTAAACGGAAGAGTTGAGATATTGACCAATGACCAGGGTAACCGTATCACGCCTTCTTATGTTGCCTTCACCGATGATGAACGTCTAATTGGCGATGCGGCAAAGAATCAATATTCAAATAACCCTAGGAACACTATTTTTGATGCTAAGCGGCTAATTGGTCGTCGCTTTAGCGATAAAGAAGTTCAACAAGATATTAGGCACTTTCCATTCAAGGTCATTGACAAAGATGGTAAACCTGTTATTCAAGTAACTGTAAAAGGCGAAGAAAGAATATTTACTCCTGAAGAAATTTCGGCTATGATTCTTGGTAAAATGAAAGAAATTGCAGAATCGTATTTAGGCAAGAAGGTTACACATGCAGTAGTTACAGTCCCAGCTTACTTTAATGACGCTCAAAGACAAGCCACAAAAGATGCTGGCGTAATTGCTGGACTTAATGTCCTTCGTATTGTAAATGAACCTACGGCGGCTGCAATTGCATATGGTCTTGATAAATCCGATGGGGAACGTCAGATTCTTGTCTATGATCTTGGTGGTGGTACCTTTGATGTTTCTCTCTTGTCAATTGATGATGGTGTTTTTGAGGTATTGGCAACTGCCGGCGATACACATTTGGGAGGTGAAGACTTCGACAACCGAGTTATTGACCACTTCGTTAAACTTTATAAAAAGAAAAATAAGATAGATGTTACACAAGATTTAAAAGCTATGGGTAAATTAAAGCGTGAAGTTGAAAAAGCCAAGCGTACATTATCTTCTCAAATGTCAACTCGTATCGAAATTGAATCATTTCATGATGGTAAAGATTTTTCCGAAACTTTGACCCGTGCCAAATTTGAAGAACTTAATAATGATCTCTTCCGTAAAACATTAAAGCCCGTTGAACAAGTATTGAAAGATGCAAATATTGATAAGAAGGATGTACACGATATTGTACTAGTTGGTGGTTCCACACGTATTCCCAAAGTTCAACAACTCCTTGAAGAATTCTTTAATGGCAAGAAAGCTTCCAAAAACATTAATCCTGATGAAGCAGTTGCATATGGTGCCGCCATACAAGGAGGTATTCTTTCTGGAGATGAAGATGTAAAGGAAATCCTTTTGGTAGACGTTTGTCCTCTTACACTCGGTATTGAAACAACTGGTGGCGTTATGACAAAATTAATTCCTCGTAACACTGTAATTCCTACTAAGAAGTCACAAATTTTCTCTACCGCCGCGGATAACCAACCTACTGTATTAATTCAAGTTTACGAAGGAGAACGTTCTATGACTAAAGATAACAACTTGCTCGGCAAGTTCGAATTAACAGGTATACCGCCTGCACCACGAGGTATACCGCAGATCGAGGTCACATTTGAAATTGATACCAATGGTATAATGAAAGTATCTGCAGCAGATAAAGGTACAGGGAAAACTGAATCGATTACAATTACAAACGATAAAGGTCGTCTTTCTAAAGAAGAAATTGATCGTATGGTTGAAGAAGCCGAACAATTTGCTGAAGATGATAAGTTTCAAAAGGAACGCGTAGAATCCAGAAATCAGCTTGAAAATTTTGCATACACAATCAAAAGTCAAATTTCTGATGACGGAGAACTTGGTAAGAAAATAAGCGATGACGACAAGAAAACTATTAAAGATGCAATCAAGACGGTTGAAGATTGGTTGAATGACCATTCAATTTCTGCGACCAAGGAAGATTTTGATGAAAAACGGGAAGAATTACAATCAATCGTTAATCCAATAACTACTAAATTGTATGCTGATGGTCAAGCTCCACCTTCACACGAGGAACCACCAAGGCATGAAGATTTGTAAAATAATAATAAATAATAATAGTAAATAATATAGTTCGAATCAACGTAGATCTACAAAAAAAAATAATTTTTTCGTTATTCATAATTATCATTTTATAAATTAAAATTTAGATTGTTGGATAATTCGGTTGCAGAAAAATGAACATTAAAAATTTCAACATTTTTGCATTATTTCAAATAAAATTCTTATGTTTAATAAATTAATTTATACCGGGATGATATTATTGGTGTGATACATAATTACGAAATCAAGCACGCATAATTTTGTAACGATTTAAGTATTTAATTCAGGCTTAAATATGGTCCCAAAATTTCCGAAATTACACCATTTCCTGGGCTGTAAAATTTCCAAAATGCTCCAAAGAAAAAAATCTTTTTTAATTAAAAATGAAAATTTTTTTTAAAAAGTATCAAGTTTTAATAAATAACTTTTTTCTAACATAATTGGTTCAAAATGTATAAGCACAACAAATATAAATGATATTTTAAGCAAACATTTGATGATATATTAAATATTTACCATTATTAAAAACATAATCAAAGAAAAGTATTTAGAATTATCAAAAATCTACCAGATGAAGTGTAATTATCCATACAAGATACATTTAAATCTCAACAACCAACTATCCAAGCAAACATTGACCAATTGACCTGCCCGATTGATAATGATGTTATTTATAACATTATTCATAGGCATTATAAATACCATAGAGAATCATATTTGTTAGGATTAAAAAGTCCAAAAGAATAGGACAAAATGACAAATAAATAAGATGATGACATAAAAATACTTATGCTAGAGAAGTAATTTATCAATTAGTAATATATTTTATATTAATTGCTTTATTACTAATTTTTATTTATATTTTATAGAAAAGATTGCATTAAGTGAATTATCAATCAGCCACAAAATAAAAATGGTCTAATTAAGAAGTTTTCTAAAAAAAAACTTCAACTAATTATAGATAATAATAGATTTTACTTGCAAGAGGAAAGTGAAACTAATTCAGATAACCTGAAAGACTCAAGAAGAATTGTAATTAAATGGCATTTCTTAACTGTATATTAATTTGTTTTATATATTAATAACAGTCTGCATTTATTTATTATTTTTATTATTTTTATTATTTTTTAAACTCATAAATTTTATGAATACAATAGAAGTTTGAAAAAGTATATAGAAGATTATTGTAAAAGCTGATACTTAAAAATACAAATACATAAATTGGAAAAGGATGAAGAAAAAAAGAAAGAAAAGAAAAACAATGAAAATAATGAAAATAATGATAATAATAATAATAATCAGAAAGTATAGTGAATATGATAAAGTTTATAGTATAATAAGTATATCAAATAAATAATTATTAATTTGTTATACATTTATACATAATTTAGTATTTAATAAAATATTAATTTATTATTAATTAGTATATATATTTATACATAATTCAATATTAATTTATTATTAATAATTGGTATATACATTTATACATTCTGAATTGTATGCTGAATGATAATTAATAAGCATCTTCCAAATGACTTCTAAATGGAATTAAAAATACTAATGGTTAGTTCATAAGTTCAATTCTAAAATTGCAGTTTTTAGCTAAAACTGAACTGTTCACAAAATAATTAATGTTAGAAAGTGTCAATTATAATTTATTTAATAATATCAAATACCGGTCATATCACGGATTGGCATAAAGACTTTTTTACTATAAAATTTGTATAACAGTAAATTTTTACTCCATCTCACATAATAAGATGATATAAAGTGGTAAAAATGGTTTTCATAATCTGGCTGGTTCAGTTTTTATTAAGGTTGCCTGCCGAAACTAAAAAGGAAATTCTGAAAGGTTTCGGCCAATCAAATCAAATGCCGAAAATGCCGAAATTAGGCCGAAACTCGGTCTTAATTTTGGCCAAAATTAAAATTCGGCCGAATTATGACATTGTGTCACGTGACGTTACACAAATTTCCAAAAAAGGAAATTTTCGTGTCGATCATTATTCCGGCCAGAATTATAGTATTAATGTTGGCCAATAATTTCGGCCAAATTTCGGCCTTTCGGTAAAAGTTTCGGCATTGTATAATTTCGGCAAATTTACTTTTAATTGCCTAAACTTTCAGTTTTAAAAAAGTTTCGGTCTTGGCCTAAACTACTTGATTTCGGCAAGCAACATTAGTTTTTATTAAGTTCTTAAAAAAAATTTTTTTATATTATTACAGGACCCTAGACATTACATATACAACACAGTGGCAACTTTTTCGCAGATTAACCTAAATTTTACAAAAAAAAATCAGTTTTTTACAATTATCTCAGCATCCAGTAGTCTAATTTGTATAAACTTTTTTTGTTTTGTAGCTCTCATCAAGCTCTACAAAATAAAAAAAAATCTGCATGAATCGAATTACTGGATACCAAAATAATTGCAAAAAACGGAATAAAAAATGTCCAGGTAAGGTTGCTTGTCTAAACCTCTTCAAAATCCTACGATTAGTTTTGTCAAAATTTTACTATAAATTTATTATAATTTTAGTTTTGGCAGTTTTGCCTTTCTCCAAAGTTTCGCCAGTTTTTTAATATAAACTTTAATATAGTTTTGGCAGAATTTCACTTTTTGGCGAAACGCCATCTTGCCTAAACCCTTAGGTTTCAGCAAGTAACCTTAGTCCAGGGTCCTATTATTGTAAGAATTTTTTAAAAATTGAAAAAAAATTTCACATATAAAATTTTTGAAAAAAAAATTAAAAATTGGATTGTCAGATTTTTGATAAAATTTTTATATTATGAAAACCATAAAATCAAGTTTGTATGACCTAATATATACTAAAATTTTGCACATAAATTCAAAATATTTTAAAGTCTTTGTGAGTCAATTTTTATTGAAATTAGATATGACATATTGAAAAATTTTTATTAAACTTATTTATTATTTGATTACAGCATGTAATATATGTCAAATATTCTTTTTATGCTGTTAAAATTAAACTTATACATGTAATTTTTGCAATATTAATATAGACAAACTACATAAAACAACAAAAATCATGAATTTAATAAATAGTTTATTATTAAATTAACCTTTTATTTACTAAGCATTTTGATTCCTTGTAAAAAATTACATGTATTTAAATACTTTAAATAATATTTAGTTTTCATACAAACTTGCATTTAAGGGTTAAAGTCAAAAAAGTAGAAAAAGTTAGCTTAATATAAACTTCTCAAATAAGTGTTATTTTGTTAAATAAAAGTTGAAACAAGTAGGTAAAAACCTGAAGAATAAAAGTTTACTAAGGTCTATAAAGGTTTTACTTAAGAGAAAACTTTGAAACATTTGTGCTGTATAATTTTTTAATTAGTAATTGATATGTCATGTGACATGATCACTGAGTGATATTCCTTAATTGCCGATCCGCCTAAAAACGGCACTGCGTTACTAATAAAATTCGGGGATAATAGCGATAATAAAAAAAAGCATTTTTTGCATCTCGCGCGCGAAATAAGTTTCACCCATTTTACAAACAGAAATATCATAAAAACAATATTTTCTTTCATTTTATGACAAGTCATATTTGCCAAAAAATTTTATAATTATATTTCTGTAACTGGTTTTCTTCAACTTTCACTTGTTTTTAATAATAAAAATATTTTAAAAAAGCTTTTAAAACCAACTTTAGAAGCTAAAAATTATAGGTTTTTATTGTAAATAATGCAATATAGTAAAATGAAATATTGAAATTTCGTATATTTTAAGGTGTAAATCTGACGCGCGCGCATAGTAAACTCATTATTTTGCATACGAATGTATAACTTTTTTTTGCAAATTCGTTTTTTTCAAGTATTTTTTCAGTATATCATATGATTTTTTTTTTATAGTCAATATGTCATCTATGAGATATCCTTTTTTGAAGTTTGTGTTCTAGCACAAAATCGGCAAATTTAACCCCGAATTTTATTAGTAACGCAGTGCCGATTTTAGGCGGATCGGCAATTAAAGTTATATTTTTTTTTTTATAATAATAATGTTAATTTAGTGATTTTTTTTAGTGAAATAAAAAATCATATAATACTGTCTCTTATACACATCTAGATGTGTATAAGAGACAGGCATTTAATAGTTTATTAAACAGTACAATGACTTTAGATATTACATATAGTAAATAAAAAACCCAATCTAATTATCTAATATAATTAACTACTAAACTACTCGTCATGTTATATTGAGTACCTCATGTATACACTGTCGGGTGAAGTTTTTGCTCAGAGGGTATAGTTTGTGTGAAATGGCCATTCTTAGCATAAATGCCCCTCTTTTTTCACAAGGCATTTATAGGACCTACTACATTGCAAAGAAAAAAAGATTATGTTAATAATGAATAAAACCCTAATATATAAATTCCATTCAGATCGATCTTTCTATGAGTGTTCTGAAAGTGTAGGGAAAAAGTAGCTTCTTCAAGAAATGCATTACAAAATCAGGACTGACTAGCTGTAAATAAAGCGAAACGTTCCCATTCTTGAAGTCAACTAGTGCAAGGTTCCATTTACTGTTTGAATGTTGCATGGTGTATAGAGAGATGGACTCTAACATCAGATGTTCGTTATTATCCATTATTAACTCCATCTAACCAGTCAAGGTAAGCTCTATCCAAATTTTTAAGAAAACGTAAAAAGATAATACTATAACTAAATCTAAAAAAATAACTAAAACATATATAATAAATGAAAAAAAATAAAAGAAATATAAGAAATAAAAAAACAAATAAGAAAATCTGGACACCATAGCATCGAATTTTGTCTTTATTCTTTTTTCCCTGAGGTATATAGGCACAGTTGAAGATAAGGTCTAAGGTCTTCACCAAAGGTTAAAGAGAAACCAGAGTCGGTTAGTTCCACAATATCAGATAAAGGTTAAACCAAACATTACACTGAAAAAGCTATTGAAATTCCGTAAAAGATAGTCCATTTCGTGAATTATCCTAAAATGGAAGTTTTCTTCTGAGTTTTGAATTATTTGTTGGTATACTGGCAATTTTTGAAAAATATCCAAGAATGTGTCAAGTTTGTGATATGTTCTGATCCAAAATACTTCAGATGGTGTTCTAATCAGGAGTCTTATAACTTGACG